CAGCATTCTTTTCACTAAACCAAGGACTTTGGTTCATTAGAAAACTAAAAAAAACAAAACAAATGAAAATATTGTTCGTTATGTAAATGAAATAACGTCTTACTCGCCTGAGAATGATGACATCAATGACAGGAATGTTATTTTTTATAGAGTAATAGAAAATGTATATGAAATATCAATCTAGAAAGAAAAAGCAACGCCTGTTAACCAATCATGTCACTCTACGTATGAGTTGTAATATTTAAATTTTAACCTTGAGGAAAACGTAACTTGTGGAAATATTTATTTTAGATTTTCTTCAGCGGAATAATGTCTTTACCAAGAAGGTCAACATGTGTCTGATGATAAGAAAAAGAAGAAGAAAAAAAACCAATGTCACAAACTATTCGTAGTTTGATCGACAAGACAAGATGTTATTGAGACCTCTAAATGTCAGTCATAAATAGTGCGGAAAAAAATTTAAAAGCATTCGTCTATGATTTTAAAACATAGAGTTGTTCAAGTGCAAAACGTGTACCACTCGTAAGATTCTCTTTTGCATTATAATTGGCTATCGTAAGTACATCAAATGGTAATTCACACATTCCCGTCTGATGAACATGTGCATTAAACATACGCAAATTATCTGTTCGGTTACAGATATTTCCTATTTGTTCATATGAAAGCCATGTATAAGCATCGACTTCATTTGGATCAATTTTAATCGATATTTCATCACTTATTCTCGATGAACGTACATGTACATAAACTACAATATGATGACGACGTGGTAGACCATGTGTAAGCTCAACTGGAAATGATGACTAGTAAAATAAATATATATAGATAACTAGAATACGAATAGATGTTTATTGTTTTATTTACCTCCCATGAAGCTAATATGCGTGATGTTTCAAGTTCATTCTCATTTACTTCAATACCTACTTCTTCATATAATTCACGAATACCTGCTTGAATTAACTAAATTTATTGATTGAATATTTGCATGAAAGGTAAAATAAATATATATATACTGTTTCATTTTTTTCAATTCCACCACCAGGACATACCCAACATGATGGATATGTTCGCATATGACTTGCACGTCTTGTTAAAAGAACACGATGATCATGTGATTCAAAAAGTATAACTACACCAACAGCAATGGAATTAAGTGGATTATCAGGAATGCTAGAAGAGTTATTTTGGAAATGAAGATTAGTAAACGGACAATAACTTGGACGCTAAGCAAGTATAAAACAGTTTTTTAATGATAATTATAATATAGAAAATAAACCTTACGCGAAATAAAATTACTGATGTATCATCTCGTTTAATAATTAATTGATCATTTTCAAAATGAATATCAACATGAACATCTTCACTATTCGGTTTTAATTGATGAACTAATGGCTAAAATAATGAGTTTATAAAGAATATATAAAAGATATTCTATTTCTAAAACTTACAGTAATAAATTCTGGAAAGATTTTTTCTCCATTAATATCAATTAATATGATTTTAATTTTATATTTCTTATCATCTGTCATCTAACATAAACATGAACAAAAAAAATATGAGTTAAAGAGAACACATTGTACAGACTAAGGACTTTTCTTTTTTTTTCTTTGCGATAGATATAAGAAACAAAACAATAACAAACAGTTTATGTATATATACACTAAAATGATTTAGTTCTATGATCAAAGATTAACGTTGCTGAGCACCATAATATTGACCAAGATTAGATGATCCACTTGCATATGAATGATGTTGTCGATGCGATGGTGGATAAACACCCTGTGGTGGTTGTTGTTGTTGTTGTTGTAAATTGACAGGTAAATCATGTCGAAATTGTCCTTGACTACTCGTTATTCCATATGAGCCATTACGATAATTTGAATAAACATCATAATCACTACATAATAAAAATTCTTTATTTTATCAAGAATAAATAATAAATACAAACCGTTGATCGGGATATCCCGGATCACGTGGTCGACTAGCATAATGTTTTTGGTAGGGATCATAATTCTGATAAGGATCTATTGCGGCGGGTGGTGGTGGCGGTGGAGGTTCGTGAGGTATACCACTACTATAATATGGATCAATAGCTGATGTACTTAAATGACGATCATAAGATCTATAAAAGAAAAAGAAAAGAAAAATCCGACATTATAAAAAGAAAAAAGGTCTTCTTACCGACTCGGATCATATTCATCTGCACGAATATGTGCAGGTAGATCACGATAGTGACGTGCTCCTTCTTGTCCACCGCTACTTATATTGAGATAAGCTGGTTCACCATATTCAGTACCATAACCATTATCACGTCGTTCATCATAATAACGTCGTGAATCTGATCGAATGTCATAAGGACGAGATCGATCATATGTACCATGATTAAGTGGAATATTGCTATAAGGACGAGATTCATTGCGAGCCCAAGATGATGCAGTATGACGTACTGGACCACCTCCACCACCACCGCCTGATGTACCTGAATGATATCGAGATACACCATTATAATTGCCTCTTGCTGTAGTACGAGCACGAGAACTACTAAAAAAAGAAGAAGAAGATAATCTTCTATTCCAGCTATTCAATTAAATTATAATCTTACTGTCGTAAAGCGCTAGCAGGTTCTGGTTGACCAGGTCGATGCCGTACTGTACTTGTTGAAAGCTAATTACAAAAAAAAGTTTTATTTAAAGAAAAACAATTTCAAACTAATTAAATTCTTACTTCAACACGTAATCGTTTACCATGAAAATCTTTATTATTTAATGCATTCGCTGCTTTTTCAGCTTCTTCTATTGAACCATAATGCTAATTAATAATAATTAAATAAATTAAAACTATTCTATTTTGTTATATTCTCACCACAAAACCATAATCTTTAATAACGGATGCTTCAAGTACAGTACCAAATGGTGAACATAATTCATTTAATTCCTCTAAATAAATAAATAATGTATTTATTTACTTAAACAAAGTAATTATATACCTGGCTGTGTTGATGGATCAAGATTACCAATAAATAATTTTGTTTTAACTATTTTAACTGGTCCACTCATTGTATATGTTCGTATCTGCATTTGAGAATAAAAAATATATATGTAATTGTTATAAAAAATAAAAATTTATCCTTTGCGAAAAAAAAATTTTCATCTTCATCTTTAGTTTTTTTTTCTATATATATAGAGATATATACATATGTACAATAGTAACAACGGTTGTATCGGAACGAGTAAGATCATACATATTGAAAAAAAAACGAAACAAAAAACAAAGATATACATAAAAATTAGAAAACAAATATTTTTTGCAGATACACATGTTAGTGTTTCTGTAGAAATAAATCGATTTGTTGTCTGTGGCGCATGATTAGTCGTCATATTGTGTTCATCATCGTTCGAGCATAGATCGTACATGTATTAAAATGTTAAATATAACGAGAAGAAGAAGCGAAAATACATGTACATTCAATTCGTAGCGAAACGCAAACGCGAGGAATGTGTAATAAGCTAGAAGATAATGAGAAAAATGAATTCGATTTAATATAGATTAATAAATAGAAAATCAATTTTTATTTTTAGAATATAGAATTCACCTAAATATCGATATTATGAATATCAAGCGTGTATATAAAATGTCAGTTGCGATTCCTTCTCAGACGAATGAATACGGTAAAAGACGGCAATGATTTTAGTATGTGGATATCTGTATTTTGTCTTACTTTAATCAATATATAAGCAATCATGTATGCATCGGAAAAAAGCTTCCATTGGCAAGCAAACTATTAGGCGCTATTTGATTCCGTTGAATATTTAGACCTGATCTCGCATTGCTCATTGAAGTTTTCTAGTCTAATTGAAATCTATTCGTAGCGAAACTATGAGCTCGATTGATATTTTCTCATGAGAAGCCCACTACATACTACGAGAATCACAATGCAAATTTCGTCCAAGCGTAAACGTTTTGTTTACTGATACATTGTCTTTATTTTCATAATATCGATTCGACGCGACGTTAACCTTATCTTATCCAAAGAAAAAATATATATATATTTATTTATTAAAGCGAAAAAAAAAATATTAGAACATACAAATTCTTACATACCTAAGTGATTTAGCATAATCATTTATTTTATTGCATTGTCTTCGATTTAACCATCAGTAATTAAATTAAAATAATCTATCCGATTAAATAGTTGACAAATATTTTCTTTGAAACCAAGATTATATGGATAAATAAATGATTTCAAACGCCGATGATTACATATTATATTTTTTATTTGAATAATTAATAACAATCCAACCTAATAAATACAAACTAAAAATTACAATAATCAAAAAAAGTTAATCTACTAACCGCAATAATCACACCAATAGTAAAACCAAGAGTAAGTATGGATGATATTAAACCAGTAAGTGTAAAATAAATTCTTGGTTCATTTATTCGTAATGAAGAATAAGGAATGAATAATACTCGATATACACATGGAGATATCATTAATAAAGCATGTAAACAACCAAGAATACTATAGAATAAAAACCAACAGAAATTCGTTTGATTAACATGACCAATACATGTATTCATCCAAGGACACTAAAAATGATATTAAATAATGAAATTATTTTTTTTTTCTATGATATAAACTTACATGATGATCAAATTTCGATATACATCGACCACATTTTCTACAATGATATGCTTGCGAAGTTTTGAAACCTTGACAAATTGTACAATATTGTAAATATTTTTCATCTTCTTTATTTTTTGGTCGCCAACGTTTTCGTAGAAAACCTATGATTAATCAAGTTATAATCGATTTGTTCATTGTATTTTTTAAACAAACTAGGGCCAAGAAATATAGTTTTAAAATAATTATAAAAGATAATTATAAACCATGACCAAAACATAAACATATTAATCAAACTCAATGGCTCTTTCATATTCAATGGAAACCATTTCATAAGACAATTGAATGCATTCATTGTACTAAATAAAATTTCTTTAAGAGACATATTCTTGATTATGTTTTTAGAATTTAGCCTTGAATTTTCAACAAAGAGACAAAAGGAAACGCATATATAACAGAACCTATAAATCTTAGGTGATATAATTATACATACATCCATAAGATAAGAAAGATGGCGCCGACAGGACCATAATGTATCAATTGAGAAATTTTTTTTAACCTTGTATGTAAGTATATCTCGAAAATCATAACTAAATCGTTTTCACACACACACAAATATCTATTTATCTATCTATCTATCTATATAAACAACGCTATATATTAATAGCCATTCCAATCAAATATGGTCCTCTCGCCAATTTCTATCAACGAATAGGAAATCATCTCGAACAAACTATGGATTATTGATTCTTGGATTCAATGCCTCGAATCAATAAATATATATTTCAACAAAAAAAAATGATATAAATTCAATATGTCTCATCAACAATCAAATTCAATTGCAAATGATTTTTCCTATTTATTTTTTCGTAATGGAGCTTCATTTGAAATAAATTATGATGATGATGAAGATCATGATAATATCCAAGATGAAAAATCTCAATTAAAATTAAGTGATATATGTTGTTCAATAATTGTACAAAATGAATATTTAACTGAACGTGCATGTGAAATAATTCCAAAAGAATTATTTACATCATTATTTCGTGCTGCATTAAATTATACACATGATGATAGTTGTATAAATATCTTAATAACACGATGGCCATATCGAATATTTCGTTTAGAAAATTTTGTACAAAAAAAATTAACATCATTAAAAATGTTATTATGTGAAAAAACTGCATTACAACGAACAAAACAAGCGATTAAATATTCCGTTATTATAATACCACGTTTTATTGATTCAATAAGACAACAACAACAACAATTAAATAAAAAATCGCTATCAAATTTACGTATACTTGATGTAACAAATTTTCCTGTTGTAGAATTAATCTTAAGATATATTTCAACACATTGCCGTTTAGCAGAAAAAGAAACCAAACGAAATCAATTAATTGATATTTATAATCAACAACATCAACATTTATTACCTGTACTTAGATCTGAAGATGACGATAGTAATTATAATGAAATAGATGATCATTCAGGAAATTCAAATGATGATCTAATTAAATCAAGTTCATATCCGAATGATATAATTATCATACGTTTTGATTGTATTATTCAAGATTATCGAACGTATGTTGAACTTCTATCTGCTCTTCGTTCTGCAACTCCAAATATTCAACTACAAATATGTACAATCGATATGCGTTGTATTGGTTTAGCACTTGTTAGTAGTTTTCTTGATCATGTTGATAAACGAGTAAGAATTTATGCTAATTTAATTGATTAATTAAATATTTATTTTAGTTTGTTCATACACTTCGTGTACCATATAATGTTTTAACACGACAAAACTTTAAATATTTTCTCCCGCGTTTACCCAATTTAACACAATTACATACATTAGATTTATCATGTAATTTTATTGATTTTCGTCTTAATCAAGATGATTTAGAACAATTTTGTCATGTTTTATCTCAGTTAAAATATTTAAAACATCTTTCATTAAGTGGTTCACCAATAACAAATCGTCTTGAACATATATTAAATTCGATAAAACATTCATTAGATGTATTAAATCTTGATTTTTGTTCGTTATGTGAAAATGATTTAATATGTTTAAGTCAAATGAGTACACATCATCAATTTTTACATTTGGATTTAGGTACAAATCGTTTAAATCGATTTATGCGTACATTATTAATTGTTTTAATGAAACAAACTCGTCTTGTTGTATTAGATCTTGATTATAATCGTTTTTCATCAAATGATTATTTAGAATTAATCGCTTGTTGTCAACGTATAACAACATTAAAATGTTTAAGTGTACGTGGACCAAATTCTTTAACAACACAATTAGCTGCTGCAACATTTATTGGTGAACATTATCCATGTTTACGTACATGGAAAATCGCTTCACCTATTGAATATTCTTTGAATCGTTTTGTTGGAAATAATGAACAAAATTATTTAATTGAAACTATTATGCCTTATGATATGTTTGTTAATGAAATGAATAAACGAGCCAAATGTCTGGTTTCAGTAGCTGAACTTAGTGTGTGATAAAATTCAAGTTCATTTTTTTAATTGTTTTTTTTTAAATGGTTTTTTGACATTTTCTGTAGTAAATCAATGATATGAATTGCGATTGAAAATATTCTTCGAAATATGAATGAAAAAAGATATAATTGTTAATTTTAATTAGTCATAGGCGATACGAGTTTGATGCGATACTTAAAAAATTGGATCTTATTTCGTACGATTCCGATCTCAAGATACAAAAATTTTGACGCCGGAGCCATTTCTGGTTATATTATTTAAAAAAATCTTAAATTAATTGTTCCGGATTTGAATGATTTCAAGGCATTACAAAAATAATTAAATATTTTTCATGTAAACGAAAAGAACGAGTAGAACTCATATCATACAAAATTCAGAGAATTTTAACATAGATGATTTCGATGTGATTCTAAAAATCAAAAAACTCTCAATGGTCCGGTTCCCGAGTCCAAAAAAATCTGATTTTGCCCATGCCTAATTTTAATACATATTTTTGTTTGTAAAATAGAATGAGCGATTTACTATTATTAATATCATATTCACCAAGTTTTTAAAAAGAGTATGTACATAATCATATAACCCTTCGAGACCCACGATTTAATCTATGGACGAAACCTCTTAAAAACTTGATATTTTATATGAGCATTGAGTATTATCGACACATCCATTGATACTTTAAAGAAATATTTTAGCCACTTCCTTGGAGGTGTATGAACGGGAGTCTAGAAACTGACTCAGTAGGATTTTTAATCTCGCGCAAAAATGTCCCACTGGGACTCAAAGGGATAAACATTTATCGTACTGTCACGACTTCAGATATATCTTATCAATTAATAAGTTTTCCAGCATTACATTTCTTTCGATTCCGATAAAATATAACTAGTTGTTTCGTATTGAAGAAAATTAATATCGATATGATGATTTATCTATAAATAGATGTATTAACCTTTTGAATATCCTGAAGATTCAGTCAAAATAGATAATCTTTATACACAGGTCATATTGCAATATATTAACATTTTGTCAAAGTTTAATACATCAGTCATTTTGATTATGAACTTCGAAAATATTCTAAAGAGCATACTGTCTCTGCATTCAACTGAGTATTTTGAACTATGATCGTGTGTTTATTTATCAAACAAAAAAATAATCAAACTTCAATTAGTATCGAACGTTCATTTGTTGAGAGCTAATTGGTCTAAGTCTATTTTATATTCACATACACACACATATATATATATACATAAACACATCACAATATGCGTGCGTATTCCAACAATAATCATGACAGATAGCCATCACATAAACACATACAGTTACTTATCTTCTAGATAGACAAAAGAAGAGATCAATGAAAAAGAAGCCGATATGATAATATTGAAGACGAAGAAAAAGAAAGTCAATTTTATTTAGTAAAGATGAAATTACAATACATGCTGTTCTTCTTTAGTAAAAAAACCAAGGAATTTTTTTAAATTTATTTCTTAGTTTTTTACAAAGCAAAAAATTGAAGAAAAAAAACGTCTGATCTGACCAAAGGCTCACAACAAAGAAGATGTACTTTTTGTTCGAGTCAAACTAAAAAAGAAAAAGAATTCAACACAAACTAATTTCGCAAAAAGAATAATATAATAAATTTTTATCAAAATGTTTTTTTTTCCTCCTCGTCGTCGTCGTCGTCTTCTTCTTCGCATTTATTATTATGCATAATCAGCTGTTGTACGAGATGGTGAATGAATATCACGTTGAGTATACATTGGATAAAATGTTTGCCGAGCATATGGACTCATTCGTGCTGTATGATGATGATTATTTGATGATGAAGAAGTTGGTTCACCAACTGATCGATAATTTAAATCAGATAATTGAGAATAAACAAATGCATCAGCAGCATAACTTGCTAAATCAGGATTAACTAATGAATAAGCTGACGGAGACATAAAATTAACAGTTGGATCTAAAAAATATATAGTTTTTTAAAAGAAACAACAATCTTTGTTTTTTGTTTTACCTTGAGGATCAGATATAAAACGTGAAGTAATTGCTGCAGCAGCTGTATTAAATACATTCGATGATGTTTGAGAAGACATATTTGATGCTGAAGAATTTGTTTGTGTTGTTGATGAATTATTATTTGATTTTGGATGTGATCGAAGTAAACGTTGATTTGAATTTAAATGATTCAATACTTCTGCAACACAATCTTCTGGATCACAATCTCTAAAACCTTTTGCAAATGGATTTGATGCTATTTTTAATTGTGTTATACGATGATTTTGATAAGCAGTAACACCAATAAATTTTGTTTCAGGAAATGTAAATGTACGAAATGCTTGAGTTTGTTGAACAAGTAATTCATCATTTTTTGACGATGGTGAATAAACACAATGAACTCGTGGTTGATATCGATGCATTGAATTAAGAATAATCTTAATAAAATTTAAAAAAAATGAATTTAGAAAGTTTTTTTTTTGTATTCTATCTTCTTACATGTCCATTTTCATCAAGTAAATTATTTGTTAATTTAAGTTTATCAAATGAAACAACATTTTTCATCCAAGCTGAACCTGTTTGAGGAGAATCTGGATGAACATGGAAACGACCTGGACAATGTGGATCAGCTTTACCAGCAACAACCCAACTTGAACTAGAAAATATATGTATGATTTGATTTAATTTTTTTTTCTATTAATAAAAATTACCTATAAAATGCATAACGATAACGTTTATCATCTAATGGAATAAAATCAACCATAAGTAAATATGTTGCTGTTGGATCCATTCCATAAATTTTCACTTGTAAAGTTGGAAACATTCGTCTAAAATAAGATAAGTCATTAAGACTTGTTATCTCGAACGTGATTGATAATCTACTGTCATAAGGATATGTACATTCCTTGGAGCTATCAGTAGCACATGTTCGCGCGAGCGACGTGCTTTTCTTTAGAATAGTGTGATGATCTCGAGAGACACCGCTCGATTGAGCCATTAGCATGAATCTTATCAGTTGTTGTCTCAAATGATATTCAATATGACTCTTTTTTTTCACTTGTATACAAACAATGATCATCATCGATACGACGAGTTCGATGTCTAATTGCACTTATGAAACTCATTCCCACTGTAATACACATACATATATATATATATATTTATATATGATTATCTTTATATTAATGACTTTTTCAGCAGGCATAGAGAAAAATAGGAAACAATCGTTTGACTTGTTTCATGGTTTCTTTAACAAATTAACTAGGAAGATTATCACTTGTATAACACCTTTTCATAGAAGATTATTATTACCTTCCTGATCTTGTTACAATCATTTCTGTTCCAAGTTTATCAAATTCATCCCATAATGATTTTGATTCAATAACCATTTTAATATTAGCTAATTTCGGATGAAGTGGTTTTTTTAATTCATTATTTCCATTTTGATTTGTTCCATTTTCATTATCAGATTTATTTATATCAAGCATATTACTTGATGTTGATTTGATTTTTTCTGTTGCTGATTGAATATAATCTATTATATTTTTAAATATTATAAAAAATTCTTTTCTATAAAACAAAAACACTAACCTTCCATATTACGAATTGTTGTTAGACTTTTTTGAAGATTTGTTACTTGATGATGATGGTGATGATGATGTTTTTGATTCGTTGATCGATTTTCTTTTATTGTTGCTTGTTGCTGCTGTTGTTGTTGTTGTTGTTGTGGATACTGTCCGTTATTTGTTTCAGTTAATGTTGCTGAACGAAAATGATGAAGATCTTGTTGTAGATTATGATTATTATAATAATCGTTGGTAATCTTTTCAATAGAAGTATCAGGAGTAAAAGCTATATTATTTGTTTCTATTGAACTCGTCATAGAATGATATAAACTATTCTCATCATCGCAACAATCTGATGTAATCAGCGAAGCGATACTGAAACTGCTAGCACGCGGTGTCAACGGATTATTGTCCATAGAAGAATAGACAAGAAAATTATTGTTGAGTATATATGATGTGAAGAACTTGAGCAAAAGCAAAAGGGGAAGAGAGAAACTTAGACAGATACACAGAGAGAGAGAGAGCGAGAGAAAGAGAAAGAGAAACGATAAGGTGATAGCAATTGTTCGGTTCGTTCGCACATATAGAATCAGCAAAAAAAGACGATTGGCACGCGTTGTGAGCCAGTCGATTTTCTCTTTTTTTTCTCTTATTCGCTCGTTCGTCCCACTATCATCAACAATAACGACTCATCATCGTCATCTGATAGATTGTTTATCTCCTGTTTGTTAGCTTGAGGAAATACGCACACTCTTATACATAGAATGACTTGACAATCGTTATCATTCGTTCGCTTACTTGCAAAACGAGCATCAACATCAGTCGCTTGGCATTTTTCTCTCTCTTCTTACTTTTTTTTTCTCTTCTTTTCTGCCAATGAGATAGCACAATCATATCAAAATGTAATTATACTAGATTTTTTTTCTTCTTTAAAGTTAATTTAGATAAAAAAAGAAAAGTAAATTAAATGAATTGAATTATAACGGAAATAAAAAAACTTAACAACTAAAAACTAAATGTTAATCATGAAAAATACTTTCAATTTTTTTTCTTCTGTATAGGATATAATGGATAGATTTTGCTCGATACTATTACATACTTGATTATTTTCTATACGTCTATTCGCCCACTGCACATATATAAGAAGTGATAAAGAATGAGGGGTTGGCTCTTTCTCTTTACTCCATATCTAAGTTTGAGAGTGTGTTGACATTTTGCTAGTTGATGAGTTGATGAAGACGTACGAGCTCGACAAATCAACCAAGTTAAACGTAAGACTGATAACACATAAAACAATATGGAAACTAAGAGAGAAGGAAAACTTTCTCCCCTCTTGTGAACAATCTACAATGGCCATTATTCAACATTAGTCTACACTATATATGTATATTTATATGCGTAATATAAATGACACAATTGTATATAAGACTGTAAAATTCAATTAGAAGATGATACTATACCATATTTCCTTCCTGAATGCTAATGATACCTGCAATCGAAGATAGGATAAACAGAAGAAGAAGAAGACGACGACGAGAGAAACTATGCAAATCAAGACAAATGAGAATTTGATGAAGAAACAAAAAAAAAGAGACCGAGTTGCAATAGAAATAAACGAGATAAGACGAAGAGTTTATAGTGTGAGACGAAAAGACACAAAAGGAACATCTCTTCGTTACAAATGAAAAGGGAAACTGACTTGTGCTTATCTTTGTGTCGGCATCAGGCTTCTGTCACGCTATACATATACACGCATAGATATAGACATATCTGTGCTTTGTCTGTTGTGTGATGGTTGTTGATACGATGGTGTGGCTAAATGAGGGAAAGAGAGAGAGAGAGAGAAAAGAGGGAAGACATGTTGATAGAAAAAATGACAAAAAAAAGTTGACGCACTGTTTTTTGCATTATATCATTGAAGAGTTCGAGATAATATGGATCATAAGCATAGATAAGATTGCTTTATCTCAACTGACAACCTATAATACTAGGTTTTGCTATTCTTGTCCATAGAGTCTTATCAATTTTTTATGTTTTCGTATAGATAACATACTAATATACTTCCATAGCAGAACTAATTTTTTCAGATATATCGACTTAGAACAATTTGTTTTTGTATATAAACAAATACTTTTATGAATTAAATTGTATGATCTATTTTCTAAAGTCATGACTTACAACATGGTATTTTCTTTCTGTAATAAACAAATATTTGTAATAAAATATGATAATTAGCACAAAGAAAACAGATTTATTTCTATGTCAAAGATCTGACTTATCAAAAATTTAATTGCAACGACAACATTTCAAAAGAAAATCTTACACATATTTTAACACATGCTGGCATAAACTAGGCTAAATTTTCCTACGTAGGCCAGAAGATAATAGTTAGGAGCCCTATCATTCTCCCCGTTTTTTTTACGAATCTCTGTAGATTTATTTAAAATGATGTTCATATTTGAATCTAGTCATGATATCTGATGAATGTCGAATGAAATTTTATTTCAGTATTTAAAATTATTGTAAACGAATGAATTTATTTATAATAAATTTCACTTTTTAAATTACGTAAGTCTGCTGCAATACGAGAAATAAATCATTTCAAAAGAAATTCATGATATAAATCATTTTCGAATGATATTTTACGAGGTATGTCTTAAATCATATGCATTTCAAATAAAATCGTTAAAACGAGTTTTGTTGATTGACAAGAACAATAAAAAACCGTATACATAAGATTGTCTTTTAAATACCGATACTAGGATCATATATTACTTATTGAAACCATATAACTCTGAATCTTACACATCAACAAACTACTTGATATATTTTTATATTCAAAAACCACAGCCAGTAATCATTATTAAAAAAGGTATGAGTCTTCTGAAATAATCATCAAATTGTAATCTTTACCACAGGATAGATCGTTGTTCTTCTAGGAAAATTGGTGATATTTCCATAGTAACATCTATCATAATGTGTCAAGAAAAAAGGATCTAACTTTCTACTTTTATACTTGAACATTTGATTAGTGTATATATTATAGATAAATCTCTTTTTTTTACTGTTATTATATGATTTATGTGATCTAAAAGAGAACTTGATAGTCACAACTGTTCTTTTATTTGAATAACAAGATTTATAAATGAAGTATATCATAATCTCCTTGAACATTTATTATGCTTCTATTATTTGACTATTGAAATTATAACTTAGGTAAATGATGCTTGAAATCCTATTCTAGTATATCAAAACGACTTCTTTTGTTTTCAACGAGAATATTTATCCTTGAAATCCACATACGTCATAATACATGATAAAGAGAAAGAAAAAAGAATTCTCTTTCATATGTCATCTTACTGACAAATACAGCATATAGATATTTGTTTTGTCTATTTTAACTATTAGTAAAATTTGTATATATAGAAAAAAAGATGTATGTCATTCACTAGAATATTTATTAAAGAATTTATGTATATATTTTCTTGTTTTTCTGCTTACAAGCAAAAACGTCTTGTTCACTGATATATCTGGATTAATAATAAAGATGAAAAAAGAGTAACATATAATTAGAAAAAAAAGAGAGAAACTGAACACAAAATGATATAATAGTTAGACTAAATACACATTGAGTTTAAATCTCACGGACATATATCACAAAGTGTCACTTGTTTATAAAACCATATAGAAGACTTATACATCAGTGACACAATATACATATATATATATGATGATAAAGGAAAAAGAAAACGATTTAATGGTAATTATACAAAACAAGCAGACGTTTAGTTTATTTTTTGTTAACGAAGTAGTAAAGAAAGAAAAAGATAAAGAATTATTGAATGTTTTGTTTTTTAAAGAAGAAATTTTATATGTCTGCATATAATTTTTTGTAAAAATATTGAAATAATTCATTTAACCTGTCGAATTTCGTTCAGAACCCCAGAAATGTCCAACACCAAATGCTACCAATGTAAGTGCTGTCCAAAGAAAAAAATGTGCAGCAACACATAAATTGTATGAATAACCCAATGATGTATGTGCATCTATTGTTGGAGAATTAGGAAAAAAATATGAAGCTGGATCACGTGAATAGGTTCCCCATGTCGCATAAGCTGACATAACAAACATTGATGAAAAATATAATAAACCTAACGAAACCAATAAAAGCATTGCATTTCCTGTAAAGGCAGCAGCAATAGTTGCAAAAATAGCAAATACAAGTAATAAAAGACCAAATACAGATAATCCACCTTGAGTAACACGATTAGCTGCTTGACAACCTAGTCCGATATTCGCTGTTCCATTATTTCCAACACATCTTCTAAAAAGACCAATTGTATTGCCATTACCATCATCAAGCCATGCAGGTGTGGCTACACTAATAATAAGAAGTAATAGAGCAAAGGCACCGATACCAGCTCCAGCAAAGAGAACAAGTTTTTGAAGTTCTGGCATTAAATTAATATATGATAAATATTGCTAGTATCTAAGACTAGTAACAACAATTGCACAGATCTAAAATCCAATGAAAAATAGTATCAACAATAAAAAAAAAAGTTCGAACAACTTTGTATCATATGTATTGATAAAATGTGACTAATAGTAAAAGAATTTAATTTTTTTTCTTCTTCTTTTCTATGTTTTATTGATGGTAGCAACAGCCGACTCATTTTTCTATAAAATTCTCGTTGTAGGTTGATGGCAATGAGTTAGTAATAGCCATCAACCTCACGAACAACTACTACATAAGCATACATCCGCATTTGCATTATGTTTCTCTTTCTCGTTCTTACTCTTTCTTTTTTTGTCACTGTCGCTCTTTGCCATCATATTAAAAATCGGCAAAGTATAAGAGTGAAGAAAAAAAAAATTCTAACTAACAGAATTGACAAAAGTAGGCAACACAAGAAAGATTATAATGTATACTTACGGCAATAGTGCTCTTCTATTTATGCAGTAACTTACGAGGATGTTTCTCTCTAAGGTTCTAACGTCTTCATAGAATAGAAGAGAGAAAAAAAAAAGTTGAACAACGCCTACATTTCTATAACTTACCATCATGCCTTGATAATGAGTGCTACGTATTGGCAGACTTTATCAGAAACAGAAGAAGAAGAAAGAAATGCACACAGGAAGACAAAGTTGAAATGAAAACATAGACAACTAACACTCAAAAAAATAATATTATAAGTTCATAGTACTTAAAAAATAGTATGATTAACAAACGATCTATGATATAAATAATTTTAGTTTTTTCCACTAGAATGAAGAAAAAAGTAAGATATTATCGAATGTAAATGAATAAAATAATTTTTAACTAATGTACAACAGCTGCAGCATCTTGTTAAGTCCTTGATATTGGACGTAGCATACTGTTTGTTATAGTATTACTTCAATTCAATATATAACCTTGAGTTAAAAGAAAAACATGCTTCATATATAGACACTTATAAGTAAATATATTCCGAAAAAAAACTGAAAGCAAAATATTGATTTTGACAAAAAAGAATCTCAATACTTCTTTTATATGCAATATTTATATTTTCGATATGTTTTTTCTAAAAAAAAACAGATTATAATACTTCAAAAATTTTACATACGCTATATTAAATACAAAAATATACTAATTAAAGTATAACTTGCATAGAAAATAAATAAGAATAAGTAATGTTTTAAAACATTCTAAAATCGGCCACTATAAGTGTAATAATGTATGCTTCAACAATATATAAAATAACGATAGACGATAGGAATAAAAAAAAAAGAAATTGAAATGTAAAAAATATTTCTTCTCAGTTTTTTCTCGTTAGATTGTGAATGAAGTTTTCCTTACCTACTTTATTTTTCTTGTCTTGAACACTCTTTTCCTCTTTTTCTCGTCTTTCTCTCTATTTCTAGCCTACTATTGACTGTTAAATGTTCTCTTTTAATTAAATCCACAAAAAAAAAGAAAAACGCTAGAAGAACGAAAGAAGAATTGCTGTCAGCATCACACAATTCTATATGACGTATTGAAAAGGAAAAAAAATATGAATCACTTTTTATGATAAAGAAAAAAAAAAGACAATAGTATTATTACGAAATAAAACAGATCAAAAGAATACATGAAATTTAACTTTAACAAATTATCGTTATATTCATAGTATAAAAGAGAAAACGTCACTACTCTTTCTATGTACATGTGAAAAAAAATGATGCAATTTAAATACTCGAATAGCTGTGATTCTCCTTTTTCTAAACTTCCTGGCATAGAAGAAGAGCTCAGGAAATAAAAAAAAACACACCATATCCTTAAATTTTAGAGCACACACGATTGTCAAAAATAAATATTTTGTCTTACTTCAACAAACTGATAGCGACTTAATCTTGAATAACACCGAAGCAAAACATTGTACGAATAAATTTGGTAAATATTCACCTCACGTCTTCTTCTGAGACATAGAAGAATTACCTCTTCTATTATCTTAATCCATTTATCAATAAAACAAAACGAAAAATCTATGTTACTTCATTTGTACAATACGTACAATTGTATTGATATAGACAAAATTATGTTCCTCGATATATGAATATAATTTTTGCGAAAATGTCAAACAACAATTTAGTATTCGATTTTTATTTGTCATGATAAAACTTAATGTTAATATTATGCCTATATCAGTTTCTATTTGTTGAAGTTCGGATTAAATATCTTTCTGCCAAACGATTTATTTTAACACTATTCAAATATATATATACACTTCAAAGATTTCGAAATATACTTCATTTGTTTGCTTCCAATGAACAATATATAACATTTATTTTATTAATGAGAAAAATATATTTTACAATCATCACCGGATAAAATGATTTGATCATGTTTTGTGAAATTGTTTATGCTAGATGATGAATTTATTGATTATTTAAAGAAGCTTTTTTTGATGGAAAACGTTCTTTCATAGTTTTTATTCGAATATAATTTTCTATTTGTATTAATTTTTCATTAGAATGTGCTTCTTTCATTGTGGGTGATATAAGATCAATTCGTTTAACAATTGGTAATAGATAATTTTTATCATTCATAGGAATAGGTATTTTTTTTGATTGAATAAAACGAGATAGAGTAGCTAAATGTAATCGTTGTTTTGAGGAAGAATCAGAAAATGTGGGTGATTGTCTTTTACCATTATTTATATCCTTTCGAGGACTTACTGGTCGATGAATAAAAGCTGGAAAATGTAATAGTAACATAAGAAATTAATAATAAATTCCGATGACTTACTTTCCATGCTAAATGAACGTGAGTATACTAATGAGTCTTGTGACTCAGGTGATAATGAAGGTCGTGATGGTCGTTTAATTTTTGGAATAGCAGATGATGAATGATCTTGTTTTGGTAAATTTGTAATACGAGGACTATGCAATAGTCGACTTTCTCGAAGAGAATCAAAGGTTTTCTTCTCTAATTGTGCTATAATTCCAGTAGAATTACTATTGTTTGATACTGATGAACCTTTTTCTTCTTTGACTGATTCTAATTTCAATTGAAAACGAACACGTTTTTTTCTTGGACGATTTTGTGATGGTATTATCAAAGGATAATTAGGTAGAATAGTTTGTGGATTTGAAAATGATGTTGTATGTGTACGTTTTGTAGTTATATTCTGTAATAGTCTAGCACCTGGAATATATATATATCTAATATATTTTATATAATATTAAATATTCTTACGTGCTAATGGATTTTTTACAGTAGTCATTTTTGAATTCGAATTTATAGTTAATCATTGAAATTTTATTAAATGAAAGATAAACTTTGATTTTAATGTTATTAATAATAATAATATATTTCAAGTGTAATCGATGATTTACATCCAAAGAATAACCTTCGGTTCTTTATATAAATGATTTCTTTTTAATATTTATTTAGTTAATTAGCTATTCGACATTATTATAAAAAAAACATTGATGCACGTTCAAATTACGATGTAAGAGTCACTTAAATTCGTTTTCAAGTAGTTGAAAGCATTTTCATTCTTCTGTCCTATCAATTACGTTTCGTGTATATATACATCTTGACAAAAAAAGAAATTGCATACAACGTTAAATTATTTTACTTATACAAACAGTACTTTTATCACAAATTGATTTGCATTTTCTACCGGTACAATTAATCTATGTAATCTTTTTGTTTGTTTTACTATTTACAAGAAAACTGATTTTTAAATTTTAACTTAAAACATTACATAAAGATAGTTCATAACACAGATAGTATATTATAAAATAGGCACATCGATCGACGTTTTTATTTATGACCGATGTGATAGATACGCTTTTATCATAACCGTATCTTATCATATAAGTAGTGAAAAGATGTGAAACTTTCATAATATACTATTTGTGTGTGAAGTTTCAAGTAGGAATTTGAAAATCAATTCTTTTAAGAGAGAATATGATATCACGTGAAAATGTAGTATCTTCACATCAATAGGGTATTCATAACTCGTTAAATATTACATAATACAGATAAGTATAACCTAAAAGCGATTGGGACAATTAGTTATCAACCGAATAGAAAATTGTGATAATATATATTCTTCTATATTGTAATAAATTTCAATATAAGATATCGACTAGAGATATACAAAGAGAAGAAAAAAAAAGAAAGGAAATATTGCTGTTAATGTAAGCATAGAAGAACAAAAAAATAAAAAGATGAAGCACATTAAAGATCACTGTTTAGAGAAGAAGAAGAAAAGTGTTTTTTTTAATTCGAAATTGATTATTTTTAAGTAGATAAGATTTTAACATAATTGCCCGGAAATGTTCCAAATTTCATATTATTTCCATAATTTGATTTTTCCATTATTCCACAATACCATCCATCATCACATTTTTCAAGTATATCAATAATATCTCCAACATGAAGTTCAAGTTCATCAATATTCTGTGGAGTATAATCATAAAGTACTTGACATCTAAACATATTAATAAACGATATTTGTATGTATGTGTGCATATATATGTAATTTACTTTTGTATAGTAAATTTTAATTCTGGTACAAGATTGATTTTTTCAATCGCTGTTTGTTGTAATTCCGTAGGATTTTTTAATACACTTTTAGGCATATTTTGATTTAATGTATTATCTAATTAACAAAAAATGGAAATTTGAAAATAAAATTTATTCTATTACCTTTTGGTTCTCGTATTATTTCAATATAATCTCCAGGAAATATACCTTCGATATGATTAATTCGTCCTTCATACCAGTTATTATCAAGCTTACGTAATAGAATAACTTTTTCACCCTATTAAAAATCCATTGAATCAAATCGATTATAAATAGAATATATATTATATCAAACTTTTCGTAATTGTAATTCAACTGTTTTTTGTGGTATAAAATCATATTTAACAATAGCTTCACCTTCGATTTGTTGTTCTTTTTCATTGTATTGATTTTGTTCAATTGTTTCATAGGGAAATAATTCAACATAATTAATAGGAAATATACCTTTTAAACCTTGATGTTCACCTTCGAGCCAATCATCATTAATACGACGGATAACTTGAATAATTTCGCCCTTTTTAAATGATAATTCTCTTTATAATACAAAAGAAATATATATATATATAAACTTGAGAATATATCAATCGAACCTATTAGATTGAGCATAAAAATTATGTAAAGCAAGTGCTGTGTAAATCGGTTGAGAATCATTGATTGTTCTAAAAATAGAATAAATTAACACGTGACAAGATTAATATATTAACTTACGATTGTAATTTTGATTCTGAATGATCGGGATCAGTTGTTTTTTCTATGAAAAAATAGATTTTTGTCAAAATAAATTCAATATTATATAAAAATAATGAATATGGAATTCATCCGAAGAAATATTTAAGATTTTTTCGGAAGGAAAGCATTGTTGCTTTCGTTAGAATATCGTTTAGTTATAAGCATATAGGTCTATGAATACAACAAAACTTACGATGACGGGAAAGTGATGATAATGAGAATTTATAACGATTTTTATCGAAGCCAAAAGATGGCTCTATAGTGAAAACATGTGAACAAAATAGATAATTACCCCTCTTTACTTATATATACTTACCAACATGCCATCGAAATTCTGTAAAATAAAAGGATTAAAAAAGAAAAAAGCTTATTTCTAAGTTGATATGTACAAGGACTTTTTTTTCAGTCAATACTTGTTAGAAATTGATTTTTTTTATTCTATATACATCTGTTATAATTATTTTGTCAAGAAAGACATAAATCAATAGAGTAAGTAATGACCTTGTTTTGTCTTAATACATAGTGAAAACTGTTTATTTGTTCAATGGATGTGATTATATAATTATCCAAGAAAAATATATACCTTTACTTTTGGCGTATTCATCTACTTGAACGTCAAGTATTAGCTAGTAACTATTTCAATATATGAATTAAAACAAGTGATACATTGCATAAGCATCTCGACGTAACATACATATATTATATACTCTTCGTTTTGTTTCTTTCTTTCATTCCTATTGAAGATGTGCATCTATTTCTAATGAGACAGTCGCCTACCTATTTCGTTTTATAATATGCTCTTACTATACACGTATATATTATACCATAACATTATATTTAAAAAAAAAACTTTCGTTTTTAATGCCTATTACGATAAAACACGTATCGTTTCTATTCTGTTTAAAAATAATCACTCACGATCGATGAATGAAGTTAAAAACATATCGCAAAAAAAAGAAACATATGAATGTAATCATTTACAAGAAATTCGCAAAAAGAAAGATAACTAATTGAGCATAGTCTTTTGTTTTCTCGATCGATCGATCTTTCTTTTCTTTTTTTTTCATATTTTTTGTTAAACTTATGCCTCATTTGTTCGATTACTGATAAAAACATCATCCGGTGATGAAACACCACTACGATTTGTATTTGATACTGTTGTTGTTGAATATTTCGTTTTTTCAGTTGTTTGTGGATAATCCCATTCATCAACAAGTAAATTAGGTGTGATTTTATATTCACGTTGAAGTTTTGTACGTAATGGACGATAATCAAATGATTTCGATTGTCGTACATAATTCGGATAATCAGGATTCGGACTACTTTGAACTGTACGATGTTGATATGGACTACGATGTGAATAATAAGATGATGATGTATGTACAGTTGATGATGGAATGTTATTTTGATATCGTGAATGGGGTAATGTATTTGAATTATAACTATATTGTGATGATGGCATATTATTATTATTATTATGATGACGATGTGACATTGAACCATATCTTTCGGATTGATATTGATCATAACGTGAATGACGATTATTTGCTGAGGAAATAGGTGATGTTCGAATATGTTCATTTAATGGTAATGAATATACTTCACTTGGTTTTGTTTCACGAAAATCACCACCACGAAATACTTCAATATAATTTCGTGGTGCACCACCATATTCAGGAGATATGCCACGACCACCGTAAGGTAACGGTGGTGGAGGTGGATAATAGGATGGACCTGATGGACGATGATAATAGTAATCCGAATGTGATGGTCGATGAGCGTAATGATACGAACCCTCATTAGGTGCATAATCATATGGTCGATATCTAGCTGAACGTTCACTAATTGTTGAATCTGTATCATAACCAATACCACCAGTTGGTGCATAAGGTGGTTCATTTTGATAAGAAAGTGGTAGCCATGCTAATTTAACATTTTGTTGATTTGGATAATGGTATGTACGATGTTGATGTTGTGACGAAGTAGATTTTGATGAATGATCTTGATCAACGGAAACAGGTACTGTTCGTGAAGTTGGCATTGATTGTTCACTTAATTGTGGTACACGTTTATCTCGTAATTCAAAATCTTCACGTGTTACAGTCGTGGGTAATTTTGGTTCACCTTGCCATGTTGCACGCTGTTCATATGATTGTAATGGATGACGACGTTCATCATCAACAGCAATATATCTACCATGTAAATAGGCTGGTTCTGTATTACGATATGAATATTGTTGTTGTGAGGGTTGTTCACGTAATTGTGATGGTGGAGTTGATGATATTTTAAGTACACGACCATATTCATCAATATATCGATAGATAATACGAGGTTTTACTACTTCAGTTTGTGGACGTAGTTCTGGTTGAGTTTGTTGGAGTATTGGACGTTTTTGTTGTTCAAATGAAGGTTTTTGTAGAACAGCTTCATTTATAACAGGTACTGTTGCTTTAGTTGCAATTACTGGTTCTTTTGTTTCTCTTATTGTATTTGCTTTTGATGATGACGATGATGATGATGTTGTATTAAGTGAAGCTAATAAAGCGCTTGCATTATGTAATTGAAGTTCATGAACAATTTTTACAAGATGATGTAGTGTTTGATTTTTTTCAGGTACAGGAATATTCTCATTTTTTGATGTTATTGTTGTTGCTGGTGCTGGCGCGGGTGCTACTGTTGTTGTTACAGATGGTATTGATGATGGAATAGGTTGAGAAGGTGATGATTGCGATAATGGTGCACTGACATTATACTTGACCAGATAAGAATCTGGAAGATGAATAGATACAGGACTACCGATGATAGCATCGAGGACTTCATAATCTCCATTTTTAGATTTTTGTTTCGACTTAGTTTTAATTTGTTTTTTATTTTCTTTATCTTTTTTTTTCTTTTCTTTTGGATCAATTAATGGAGTTTGTTCTGATGACGCAACAGGGGTAGTAGTAGTATCAGTAGTAGTGGTAGTAGTAGTAGTAGCATTAGTGGTAAGTGGTTGTTCTGTTATTTGACTTTGTAATTGCTCGGAAGTATGTATAAGAGGTGTTATAGCAGCATGTTCAACAGTATCTGTCGTCGATGGCGTTGTCGTCTTTGATTTCTTTTCTTTTGGTTTTTTTTCTTTTACTTTTTTTTCTTTTGGTTGTTTTTTCGATTGTTTAGTCGGTTTTGGTGGTTGTTTCAATGAATTTAAATATTCTGGATTTCGTAAATTTGTCATTATATCATTGTAGCGTATACTCAATAGACTATTATATTGAGCATCATTTGTTCCTATAGGATTATTAAGTAATGCATCAATAACTGAAAATTCATTTGATATTACAGGTAAATTAGTACGATCGAAAAAAACTGTTGATGGTAATGTCGTTGGCGACGATGGATTAGATGATGGTAAACGCTTATATTCATTAATTGTTGTTACATTATGTTCTTGAAGTGCACGAGTCAAATTTTGTATAGCTTGATGATCATCCGTTGTATGTTCAACTTGTGCTTGCGCTTGATCAAGATCTGTTGCATGACCAGTTTTAGTAGGAGAAACAATAGTTGTACGTGCTATACTTGGTGTACGACGAACTTCATGATTGACAGAATTTAGAAAAACTTGATATTCTTCTGTACGTTCCACAATAAGTGGTGTTATAGAATCATGTTTAGTAGAATTAATATTACTCATTTTTTGTAATTCAACTGCTTGTTCAAGAACACGATCAACAGATGGTGATTCATTTGATGATGAACTTGTTCGATCATGTGCAATTGATGATGATGGTGCTGATGATGTAGTTGTTGTTGTAATTGTTGTAATTATTTTTTGTGGTTGTTGTTGTGGTCGAGATGGTGGAGCATCATATGTAGGTGGTGGAGTTTTGAAACGTTGTTCGAAATAATCTCGTTTAGAACTAAAAGAATGTCGAGTTTCTGGTGCTGCTTCAACAGTTGGTGTTGGTTGTGCTTGTTTTTGTTGATCTTCTAAAATTTGTCGAACATTTTGATAATGATGTTGTAATTGTTGATTATACGTATCTGTACCCTCAATACGCACTGGTGTAATATCATTATCAACTCGACGTTTAGCTGCACGAGCCGATGTGCCCATTAATGGTGGACTATGTGTACGTGCCGAACCACTTGTTGTATTGACGGTTGAGGGTGTCGAACTAACGGGATTAAGATGATTATTAACAATATTAACGAGTTCATCAATGCCATCTCCAGATGCGCTATTAGCATTAGTTTCCGTATTGTTAACATCTTTATTGTCTGTCATTTTTTTTCTTCGAACAATGGATATATTAAGAACGACAGTTGTTCCCGTTTATTCTTACGTCAATATGGTTGATCGCACAATTATTATAGATGACAAGCGCTCATCCGAATCTTTGTAATATGATGATGGTCCGGCGTATATATAATATGTGCGCACTACCTGGACGATTGCCGCTTTTTTTTCTTCTCAACGTATCGTAGGAATGATAGCGATAAAAGCGAAACGAGAAAAAGAAAAGAAACGTTTGCGTCTATATATCTACAAGTGAAGTATCATGAATGGATGTACATGTATATGTATATATATATATGCTGGATTGACAGCGGTGATAATCGATGTTGCTCTTAGTCTAATTGTAAAGGTGTGCTTCGAACATATAAAATGTAGTTCTTCTAACTATTTCTTCTTTGTCTTCTATTCGTTAATTACTTGTGAGCTTTCTTTCTTCCCTTTCTTTTTTTCTCTCTCTCTCTCGCTCGCTCTCTCTCTCTCTCTCTTTCTCTCTCTCTCTCTTTCTTCCTTTCTTCTTCTGTATATACAAAAAAAAAATGTATACGGGCTTTCTCACGATGATCACCGTCGCAGTGTGACGCTGACAGAATAGCAAGAAGTAAAGATGAAAAAATGGCCAAAAAAAAAGAGAAGAGGAAGGGAGAGAAAAAAACAAGCGAAGAAACTAAAGTAAATGTACAATAGTGTCGATATATGGTTATGGAAGTATTTCGCTTTAGATTTTCTTCTCTCCTTTGCCTATCGACGCCTATACTCATGTAAATATGTGTCAATAAGTGTTCTTTTTTTTTATGCATGCATGTGTATGCTTTGATGTTGATGCTCTGTCTCTATGTGCTCACATAGGCACATACACCGATTTGTCATCAAAGCATCTCAAATACATATATGTATATCCGCCGATCTTTCTTTCTTTTTTTTTTGTAGTTATTACGATGAAAAACGCACGCATATATTCGCGTTTTATATTACTTTTTTTGTATAGTGAAATATTACGCAAAATCATAAGAATGTAAGCCGATTGAATACAAAACGTAAAATAGAATAAAGATGAAATATAATATTTACACAGAAAATGCACAAGATATGTATATAGTTGTCAATAGAAAAAACAGATTGATGTAACTAATTAGTCAAGTAGAAGAAGAAAGATCAAAACGAGATATATATATATTCTACGTATGTTATGTGAAAATACGCGACACAATAAACCACAGGTGCAAGTATTAATCATTAATAGTAATTGGTCTGTGGAAAAAAAAAGAAAGAAACGGTTGCATTCGTTCTTATTGATTTTATGATTTACCGTGATGCGGTTCTACTAGTCTTCGAGGTCGTATTTATTTATGCAATCTACATATCAATATGCAACTCTTTTCTTCTTACACTTCTTTTCCATTTTCAACTAATCACACATTATATTTATGGATATCCAACGATACAAGACAGATGTTTCATTAGAAGGAGGTTGAAAGCAGCAACTAAAAGAAAACCTTCTCACTATCTCTCAAGGTTACCACATACTAACTCTTTTTCTCATAATCATAAAAAAGACGAGTATATATACATATGTATATTGTACATATTCCTATATTCTTTGATGTTACTGTTCAATGGTTTCGTTGTGCACTACATAAGCATCTCAAGATGTAGACTTTCAAAAAAAAAGAGAAAATGTAAAGTATGCATACTGATGAAATTGAAAGTGTCTTGAATGATGTAAGCAGATAAAAATGAAAAAAGAGTAACTAGTAAAAAGGTTAAGTGCATTCATTCGCCATTTATTTGACACATTCTCATCGAAATATAGGCTGATAAGAATGAACAAAAAAAATTGAGAATATTTGATCTTTCTGATTTTATTACTCGATCAATAAATCATCCTTTTTTTTTTTGTTCCCGAATGTTATTTATTATTACATTCGTTTCTAATGTAATAATTTTAATCGAATAAATAGTATAACTTTTCTTACTGTTTAAATAAACATCATTCGATGTTAAGAGAAATTTTTTTTTACGATCAAAATTATATATTTGTAAATTATCTGTTGGATGTATATGAGGAGGATAAGTTATGACATATCCACAACCATCTTCATGTATTTGTTCCCATTCATCGTCATCATCATCATCATCATTATTATCGATATTATTAACATCATTTTTATTTTGAAAATATAAACATGAATTGATTTCAAAATGTACATCATGATCAATTAGATCATGCAACTGATTTGTTTGATTTTGTTCCCAATGTACGGAATAATAAGCAAATAGTTTTGGTGATGATTGTAAATGATTAGTAAGATTTAAAGGACGCTGTATGGATGAAGATGCGACTTTCATCATCAACATACAATACAATAGTGATTAAACTTTAGATTACTATTCCACTTTTTTTTTTCTATTCCCTTTCAACTACAGCTGTTGCCTCTATATTCTTATTCAAATAAAAAACAACCATATGCTTACCTCGATTGTTAATGATATGCCTTTGTAAACCGGCTGATGGTATATCTCCACCACGTAACACTCGTTTATAGATTAATTTTTGTTCATCATCTGTTGATGACGATGATGATGATGTTGTTGTTGTTGAAGGTGGTAGAGGTGGCGGCGGTGGTGATGTTTGAATACTAAGAATAATAATAAACATTATAGATTAATTTCTATTCATAAACTTACGGATGGTTCGTGTTTGATCTTGAATTAGTCGTTATAGGCAATGCCGGAGTATCAATAGTCTACAAGAATTAATGAACAGATGTATAAATATGTCTTTGATTTTTACTTACTGATTTAGTTCGTTCTGCTACTGGTGGTGAAGGAATAATTGAAGTTGTGACATGATCATTAAAACGTATTGTTTTTTCTTGATTTCGTTTTGAAATCGTTTGATGATCACTAAGATAAGATAATAAAAAAAAATATTATATATATGTTCAAAAGTATTAGTTTATCTATTACTTCATATTTGCAGTTGATGTTCGTACAGGTGACGAAGAAATATTATCTAATGTAAAATAATTTATTTCTATAATCTAAGATAACTATTATCTTTAATCTTACTATCAACTTTAGTTGAGGCTGTTTTACGTATATAATCTTCCAAATGGTCAAAATCACCGTTAAATTGTTCCGGAAATGTATATGTTGGTTTATATGGATTTGGTTGTTCGTCTATAAAGAAAAAATTATCATTTACACACGACATTCTTTTTTCTGTACGAATAAATTCTTTGATGTAAATGAAACGACATAGAATATCATGCAATACAAACAATAAAAGCCAAATATGTAAAGACAATGATGGGTCAGTAAAATAAAATAAAGATAAAGAAAGCAATTTTGACCAACAATAAGTGTTTACATACAATATTTAGATAAAGATTTGGCATTTATCATTTAATCGAACAAAAAAAGAAGGTTTAGTTCTATACCCTACTATTGAAATAACGAGTTCAATTGTCCGTTATGATACATATATAAAGTGTTTTTTTTATATTAGAATCGATTATATAAAAGCAAAAATATCTTTGCACATCTACTTGAAATTTATTATATATATATATAAACTAATATGAGGATATATTGAAAGCTATTATGAGTATGTTGATAAAATTTATTCCACATACTTATAACTTATTATAAATAAATATAGAAGCAGAGAGTTATAAATGGGAAGTGACATGCCCATTGATGTAGAAAATTTGAAGAATAGTTTATAAACAAACCTTTTTGCTGATTATATTCTCGATAGCGAGAAGGTGTAAATGGTAATTTTACAAGAATTACATCTAAATTTATGTTTTAGAATTTTTACTAATCTTTCTAACTATATTGAAATTTTTATATAAAAAAATATAAATACCTTTCTTATGTTCTGGTGATTTATGAATCTGACAATACATTTCTTTATACCATTGTGTTCGAGTCTTGTCAGAATCGTCAGTTGGTGGCTAGACGAAAAAAAAATAGAATCGATTAATTAGTTTATGTTTATTCGAAATTAATAGAAAATTTTTGTCTCCATATAATGTGATATATCATATTGATATTTTAAACGTCCTCCTGCATCGTTTTGTCCTTACCATTTGATGACTGAACATATGTTCTTGTCTATCTATTGATAATTCTTATACAATAATACAGGATGTAGGTGAAAGTAATAACAGTATTGTTATTATTGTAAAGGGTGTGTTTGTATGTCAAAAAAAAGAAAAAGAAAGAACGGCTGCAATGGCATATCATGCACATACATTAGTTTATGTGATGACTGAGAAATAGGTATATTATTTCGGATAAATGTTATTTGATATTAACTAATAACATTCAAAAAATTTTAGAATAAAGAGTAATTTGTTCAAGATGTTGAAAGTGCGCATATATGTATATATATATTATTTCTTTTCGCTATGAAAAGAACTAATACATTTACATATCTGAATAATAAGAAAAATACCTGATGTGATGCTTGAATAGACTGCATACGCTGAACTTATATATATATACTAAGCAAATGGTAATGGCAACACTCAAGGTTTTGTTTTAAAAAATATGAAAGTAAAGAGAAAAAGAAGAAATCCTTTTCTTTTCAATACTTGTCACAGCATAAAGTAAATAAACAAGACAAAAAAACTGTATAATCGACGAAAAAAGAATTCATCAAAAAAGTCTTATATATGCGCATATACGACGTTTATATTTATTGAAGAAAAACATAACATGAAAATATTATTTAACTTATGAGATTTCGTCTACTACCTGCTGACAGCGACAAACGGCATTATGTTGTGTTATTTTCTTTGATTTATCATCCATCATCAATAGATATACATTAATCAAACAGATTCATTTAAGGATATGATCATCCTGTCAGGATATTCATATTTGATGTAATAGATCAATGATAATAATGAAAATGTCAACAATCTTTATGCTTTGATCAAATTGATAATCGTTCGGTGGCAAAAAAAAACATAATCTTTGGCTTGTTCTTTTTTTATTTGTCAGGCATGCATATTTATATATACAATAACAACGTTAAAAAAATGTTGATAGGCCACTATTATTAATACCGAGGAAAAAGAAAGCAAAAAAAAGAGAAGACGAGTAAAGAACGTCCACACTCGATGTTGTTGTTTTTTTGCTTTGTAGATAGACCTTCTCGTCTTGCCGTCGAGTGTGATGATGCACCGACACGACTATGAAAAATAAGTAGGAGAGACGATGTGAAAAGAAGAATTGGAGAAGAACCGATCGTTGATAGAAAGGTTCTATGGCTATGCTCATGCTTTCATACAAATCAAACAAGCAAAAAAACGAACGACACAGTATCAGAACGAACGAGGAAAAGAAAAAAACCATTCCGGTTAACATCACGTTCATTGTGTCTTTTTTTTTCTTTGAATGCATCTAGCATTTTTCTTTTCTACTCAATGAAAATCAATTACATAGACACACTACAGGATACTCTCCAAAAAATTGTTCTTAACAACATCGTTAATTATATTGAAGCAATGATAGCGAAAGAATAGTATTTTTGATCATAAACAAGACGTCAATCATTTATCTATAGTTGTATATGTGTTAAATAATATCACTATATAATCAAACAGTATCATATCACGCATAGATACACTTATATTGTCTATCAAATATATATATAAACTAGTAACAGAAGGTTAGAATATCATCATTTCCTTTTATATCTAATTGAATTTGAATAGATAACTCTATCATCAAATACATTCATTCTAGTTGAATGATATAATTATTTGGTTTTTACGTACTATTGCAGAATCAATGTATGATGTCATATTGTATGGATATGTAGTATTCTTCTTCGTATAGTTTATATCAATTTTTTGTGATGTTATTGAACGTGTTTTAGCTGGTGTAGATAAACAATCAACATTTAACCATGGGTTAATATCTTAAATAAAGAGAATAACATATGTCATATAGTTTTTTTCCTTGAATATTAACCTCGATGAATAGGAATTTGAAATTCAACACGATGAACTGAATGTTTCTTTGATAATTGATCATTATCGGATGAGTAAATATGATTATCTATATTTTTATCATGGTTATCAAATTTAAAACGAACACGACGTGTCGGAGATGATAATTCTGTTGGTTTTGTTAATAAAATATCTCTCGAAGATGTAACAGTTACATTAGATTGTTGTTGTGATGATGATAACGATTGACCTGATCCCTATGATTTGAAAAGATTTGACTAGAAAATGAAGTCTCTCTTTCTCTCTCTCTATTTATATAAATATCATATAGTTCAAGGCTAATTGACATTATAATTCCCTAGAGAAATGAAATTTACCTCGTCGAGATGTAGTGGTATACAGATAAAATTGAATTTATCTAATGTTGCATTATCCAATGTATGATGACGTCGACGACGAGGAGGACGAGTTCGACATTCATAATACTGAAGGAGACGTGTACGACTTTGTCGAGTTTCAGTTATCATTAAAATATTTAGTGAAAGAAAAACACCTAATAGAACAAAAAAAAGACCGAGTATTATGATAATAATCTACCTTTTATCCGATTTACTTACTGTTATATTTTCTTTCGATACTTCTAGTATTCGTATAAAGCTTAGTTAAGAGAAGTCAAATGAAAATCTCTTGTACAATATCGAATATCAGTCATGGTCATGGTCATTGTCAACGTTCTCCTTCAACTGCTTGATGAGAGATGTATATGTGCTATCTCGATGTATTATGACAATTCTCTCTTGGTTAGTTTTACTAGAATGGCATCGTTCTACTAATACTCTCTCACATATAAAGAACATAGACCAGCAAACGATGATGATGATGATGATAATGCATACGTACATAGAGAGAATTGTTCCTTTGCATAGTTCTAGCGTAATACGTTACGTATAGATTTATATTATTTCTTTGTTCTTGATGAAAAGCAGAAGAGAGAAATAAAGAGCAGAAGGATACGCTGTCAATAATCATCATTCTTCATCTTTCTGTATCCAACAGCTAGTAAAAATGTTCTTTACTATTTATTCCAATATGTGTCTTCTATCTGCTTGTTTATTGTAGATTGTCACATGGTTAAATGACATTATATTCTTTTCTTTTCTTTTTTATTCAGATATGATTAAGAAATAAAATTACACAAAAAAAAAAGAACAACTATCCGACAATAATGAGTAGATGAAAAATATTTTGGAATAATATATGAAAAAATAAATCAAAATTTATATTATTAACATGTCAAATCTTTTAAATTATTTGTCTTATTGGACGATTTATAAAGGCCAAATCGTTGTGAAGGTAATTCATTATGTAAATCTGTATCAACAATTTGTCGTCGTTGTTGATTATCAGTTTCAAATATGATTGAACGTTGTCGACGTTTCTAACAAAAAACATTTTTATAATCCGAAAGTAGAAAGATTAATAATATCCTGTTAGGATTATGATACAAAAAAACTTAATCTCTTTAAATTTTCATGATAAGAGATCAATAGATTCAGATTTAATAAAATAATTTTAATTATTAATCAATACTACTGTCAAAGATAAAATTCTCTATTTGACAGCTTGTCAATGAGAACATAGTCATATTATTTGCACACGAATTTTAATGATCATATTAAAAGATAGACATCGATTGTTTATAGTAGAATCGTAATGTATCAGCTGTAGATATGTACGCGAAAATCTACATAATTACTATACTCCGCATTCCATGTCTGTCTTTTGAGATTGATAGACATTTCTGTATTCTATTGTCTGTTGTAAAGGTTACAAATGTCAATTAATCGGCTATTCTTTTGCCTTTCTGTCAGATCATTGTTTTCTTTTCACTAAGGATTACACATTAATCATATCTTTCTTGAAAAACTTTCTCGTTAGGAAAGAAAGAAAAGAAGTTCCATTAAATAAACAATAGTCTATGAATTTACCTCGATTTTTTTTCTCCAATGAATAAGTGCATTTCGAGATAATTCAACTTCTTTTTCTCGTCGTTCTTTTCGTCGTTTAAATGCGATTTCAATAGCAAGAAGAAAAAATCCAGCAAATATTCCACCAGCGACAAGTAAAAATACACCTAATATCAAATAAATAACATTTGAAAAATGAAGAATAGAACATCATTTTTTTTTTCGTTACCAAGCATATTACTAACACCAAGTGTTGCTGGTGATGATGATGGATCAGAACATTGTTTCGCTCTAAAATTATGAATACATACAATCATATACATATAGAAGAATTTTTATATTACCCTTTGAAAAATATCCATTTATTATCAAGTGTTTCCATAAAACCTTTTTCATGAAATGATAATATTGCATGTGATAAAGGATTAATCCATGCATCTCTTTTTCTTAATGCAATACCATAACTTGATCGCCCAAATAATTCTCCAGCTGTAACTAAATCACAATTTTGTGCTGCTTCATATTCAAGTCTCGGTGAATCCCAAATAAATGCTTTTAATGTACTAAAACAAAATATCATCCTATCTAGTATGAGAATTCTCTAATTATGTATTCTATTTACCCAGCTACTAATTCTGCTATTGCATCTTCAGCAGTTAAATAATTTTTTGATTCCATAGTTCGATACATCGTGGAAAATTCTATATAGAAAAATAAATTATAATAGAGCTATTGGTAAGCTATTTTCACTACATACCAACTTGTCGTTTGAAATACATATCCACTGATGAACCTTTGACTGTTGCATATGTAAAACCATCTTGAGGATTTCTCAACTAATCGTATAAAAAGTTAAATAGATTCGATTCAAATTCGTATAACATACTCGTGCATCATTGATTCCTGATATACCAGCTTGTGGACGATCGAGCACAAGAAAAGCAGCTAAATTAGCAGTATAAGATGCAACCATAATCATAGCAAAACCTGCCCAAACCATACCAAGAACACGAGCAGAAAAACTACGTGGTGTTCCTACAAAAATTCTTATATTATATTCTTTTATTAGTATTATTTTCTTCAAACCTTCTCCTATTCCTGAATTTAATAATACTCCCCAAGTAAACCAAAGTGCCCGTGATAAATTAAGTGAATCTTCTTCTGTATTAATTTCAATGACAGGACCATCTCCACTACGTCCTGTTCCTTGTCGAGGTGAAAAACGAAATCGACCAAATGGAGAAAAACGATCAAGTAAATATAAAACAACAGCAATAACATGTACAGATAATAAAACCATTGCCCATAATGAATCTTTAAATGGCTGTAAAAATGATGCTAGATTTGATGCATTTTTAGTCTAAATAATTCATGATTTGAATTCAAAAATGTTTATATATTAACAAATGAATTTACCTTTCGTACGAGAATTGTAATACCTTGATATTTAAATGGTTTAGTAAATTCAATATCTTCTGCACGTTCAGGACTAATTGTTAATGGAGCTATAATCATATCAGCTTCATAATTAAGCAATTCACCAATCATTCCATCCCATCGTTTATGTTTATCATCTTTTTCCTATAAATATCGAAAACAAAAGAATTAAATAGAGAATAGAATTTCTTTTTTACTTTTTCATATGATCCATATTTATTATCAGCAACAAGATGTAATGTAAATACAAAGCTTAAATTTTTTGATAATTCTTGTAATAAATCAATACAATAACCACGACAACAAAAATTTTCATATTCTTCATTAATTGAATCTAAATAAATAATTTGAAGGGTACAAAAAAACGTTTTTTTATTAAATACCATTTAGTCTTTTTCGTGGACATAAGACTTCAATAGCAGGATCACAATCATTACCAGGACGAGCAATTGTAAATGGTTTTTCATGAATTGTAACAACCTATGTTTAAAAATTTTGTAAATATTAAAATAGAAAAGAAGTTTAGAGACTAACTGAAACATTTCGTCTTGTTCGAATTCCATCTGGTTTTCGTCGAAGCCCATTAGGCCAAACGAGATCTTGTTCATCAAGTACTAATTCTGTTTTATCAATCTAAGATAAATTATCAATGAAATCATATTCAAAGAAAATATCTAATCACATACACAACAATAAAGGGATGGGGAGATTTGCCATGCACAATACATTTTGACAAATTAACTCACGATATGTCGACATAGCACACTTTTATGGCATGTACTCTAAAAGAAAAAATTTGTATGATAATTGTGTAAGAATATATTCTTTAATCAGAATCGAACATGTTTGACAATAATCTAGAAATCCTTGAGGATATATATATTTATATAATTATATTAGTTGCTTAAAGTCATGTCGAAACCCTAGTGGATTATATGAATAATAATCAACAGATTAACGAAAGGAAACAAGTTATTACATCATTTTAGCCTTTATATGCTTATATAGTAAGATTTAGACTAATGCTTGAATGCTTATTCTCTTCTGATATTAAGAATTAGAAAAACAAACAATTATTTATATGATAAATCAAATGAATGTTTACACAAGTGGTATCGTGGCTCTTTCAAGCATTCGATTTTTTCTATGATTTGATAAAATAGAATATTCAAATCGAATCTATCAATTATCGATCTATATTCAATAGTAAAGTATACATTTCAAACCAAAAAAAAAAGGACGTTCTTAAATTACGAATTATATGTAATGAGATAAGATCTCTGTGATAATCAATCGATTTACATGACATGTATATTATTTAACGTATGATTAGCCCATATACCAGACATGTATGTCATTGACTTTGGACCTAGATTGGGTACATCTTGGTAATATTGTCTCTATTTATATACTTCATAGTTAAACTTACTGTATTCGTTCGATAAGTTCCTACAACTTTTGTTTGTCCATTTTGAATATTAATTATTTCATATAATGATTCAACACGATCACCTTCTTCATTAAATTCAATATTTCCCGTAACACCATGCATAAGACTTGTATTCAATAATTTTCTAACAAAACAAAACAAAAAATAATAAACTAAAATATGATATTAATATATATACCTATAAAAATCATTTCCGTATGACCATGGTTCAATTGTAGAACAATTAATAGCTGTTTTTTTATCTGACCAAAATCCTACGTCATCAATAAAATTATTAAATGCATTTACAAGAAGTTTTATTGCATCGATAAGAAGATTTTCTTCACTAAATAATTTATGTAATTTAACACCAAGAAGACCATCGAATAATGCTGAACTATTTGACATTAATGCACGTTCATTTATAATCCAAACAAAATTTTCTAAATGTTGTAAACGTACAATAGCTGATAGTAGATCATCAGTATCTTCAACTCTACAAAAATAAATAGAAATTAAAATATTAAAATAGAAATATTATAAACCTAGTATGAATAATAAAAACGCGTGATAATAAACGATCTTCAGATGTTAAATTAGATATTATAGATGTAAAATTTGAATTTATTTCATATTCTTCTGTTCGTTCAATCTAGGAAAATTAATATTAAACATTTATATATCTATATTAAGAAGATAATTATACTTGAATTTCTGAATCTTCTGTTAACATTTGAAATCTCGATGCAACCATTCGACCTTCTTCATCTTGACTATAGATTAATACGACTTTTGTATATTTTAATCTACGAATAATACTAAACCATGCATCAGCTTCATATAAATATGGTGGTACAAGTCGTACAATATAATTATATAATGCCTAGGAAAAAAAAGAAACCGAATCAATTAAATTTATTTTTCCTATTTCTATATTTTACTTTATCTGAAAATAGATTTTCTCTTGATGCTATTGCTAATACAGGTATATGATAAAAATCTGATACATATGAAATAGCAGTTAAAGTTAAATCACTTCCATCAGAACCTTCACCAGCAATAATAGCTTTAGCATGTGAAGTATTTCCTATTTCACATAATTTTAATGCTATTAATAATGGATTTGAATCAAGAAGAAATGATTGAGATGATAGATAAATTTCTTGATGTGATGATACACGATATAATCGATTAGTATGTTCATTGAGAATAGTAATATGTTCATTATTTGTTAATGCACCCAGTATTGTTATATATAAATTATCAAATTCAAATAACTCAATTGTTTTATTTGTTGAACTATCAAATGTATCAGATGTTTCAAGTTTAATCACCGAAAAATGAATAGAAAAAATCAAGTAAAAGCAAAAAAGATTCATGACAATAGACTTGGAAAAAAAGATAATAACAATTTATTCTTTCCGTCGTCTGTCAAAAAAAAAGAAAAAGAACGAAGAAGGAAGAAAAAGATGAGTTTACTCGAATGACTGGCTTAGGAATAGACGATTAGAAATGTGCATGTTCTTTTATGGGAAAAGCCCGATTCCCAGATGTCGCAAAAGAGCGAAGATTTATAAAAAAAAATATTTTGTCTTATATCAAATGATTGATTTTATCCGAAGAACATTGTGACATTTTATCAAACATACTCCATTCAAAACAGAACAGAAAACATGTTTTTTGTTAGTTTATCTTCATTGAAGAGAAATAATGTTTTTATTATTATTTGATTACTGCTAATGTTCATTATAGATTATTAATTAGCAATACTAATAAAAAACTCTGACATTACTGTTACTATCTACTTAGAATCTGACCTGATATTGCCCTAAGTCTAATATTTTTATTCTAATTACCCTAATAACAACAAACTTATAGCTTATACTGTTTATATTTTGTCATATTGGATCTGGCTAGAAAGATAAAACTATCTTATATCAAAGATATTTCTTTAAGTCAGAGTAATGAAGCGATCAAGCTATATTTTTTAGTTGGCTAAAATCTAGTTTCTACATATGAATATTGAATAAAAGTTCTCTGACAATATAATATTGTTGATATGCGTATATACATAAAATAATGTCAACTAATATATTCTCGAAAAATCGTTGTTTGTTTGTATCCATTTTCTTGTCATAATCAAGGAACTTCTCTATTTTTCTAAAGATTTTAGCTTTTTTTTTTAGTTTTTAGTTGTTAATCATGTATTGGATCATTGATAATTGTATATGGAAGAAAACAAAAGTTAGTCATACATGACGACATATTGATTTTCTGTTTATCATTTGATATTATAAAAACCTAACGATAAAATCTATGAGAAGAAGAAAAAGGGCGAGACAGAAAAAGCACCAATCGCAAAAGTAATTTCTTTTGCAAATACTTGACAAAAGTCAAGAAAGAACAAAAATCTTATACATTTTTTTTTTCTTCTTCTTTTATTGTATAACTGTTTCTAATACTGTTTAGTTCGTTACTATATCTATATGTCGAATAACACAATAGATATAAATCAACAAGAACAAAAACAACCGTTAAGCAATTTTCACTATTGCCAATAATACAATTACTGTTACTTTCTTATTTTTGTTTTTGCTTAACAACGACGTGGTCAATATCATATTTCAGTTATTGATACAGTCTATTATCAGACTAAATAAAATTGCCAATGAGCATTTGTTATTATGAAAAACTTTTATTATTCAGTATGTTCACATTTGATTCAAATATGACAAGAGAAGGACTTGATCTTGCTATAAATCAAGATGATCTTCCTCATACACCATCATCACGTACGGTAACATTTACATTAGGCTCACCAACTTCATCATTATCATCATCATCATTATGTTCACAACAAAATGAATCAACATCGATACCCATATTGGAAGATCAAGTACTTGAACATTCCCAATCATTTACATTAGAAGATCAACGACGTCGACCCGTTATAGAAGATCCTTATAAATTATCACCAAATCTTGAAGTTCTTAATGATTGGATGATCGTAAGTTTTTAGAATTTTAAGATAATTATTTTTCTCATATTTTACTCGAAAAAAAAATGAGATAAATGATAGAAGTGACAAAAAAGATTGATGAAGGCTTGTTATCGTGTACATATGGTATGCATTAAGGGCACAATGCCTTCTTTTTTTTCTATTTTTACCCTATAGGTTAGACTGTTCGAAGTCAATTTTTTATATTAATAAGCAAATTATCTTATTTCATAATTTAATAATACAAAAGAAGAAGACAAAAAAAATTACATTTGATATATAAAAAATGCTAATTAAATTTTTTTAACTTGACAATTGATTATTTAATATATATATATATATATTCTTAATATAGTTGTTGACTAATGGTTAGAGGCAAAACGAAGATGCGTTAAGTAAGAGAATAAGAATTAGGCCATTATTTTCTCAGCATTTTCTATACATTTGCGTTGTCACCACACACAAACACACGTACAAGACATTATAGACTCGAAAACAAAGATATTATATTTTTCTATCACAGCTTGTGATCTCAGAATAGCCATATTGATCGACTCGTTTGTCTTTTGAGTGCAATAGCAGTTTAATATAAAACAAGCATATGCACACAACTACGGCATCCTCGTGTATGACTTCTAATGATTCCAATACATCGATAACATCTTCATCAACACATTACGAACATACTATATCATATAATCATACATCAGTCAAACGTACAGTTACTACTACAACAACGTTTGTTGTTATCGTAGGTTTTCAATTATTGAATATATACATACGCATATATATGTAGACAAAATTAATAGAAAATATCAATTGAAATTTTTCTTTAGACAACAACGGGTAAAAGTCGACGAGAATTAAGTGAAACTCATGGTTTTTCTGAAGATCAAATTGCTGGTATAAAATTCTATATTTTTTATAATAAAACTGCATATCTTCATTTTAGTATTTGAAGAATCATTTTCTTTGTTGGATAGAGATGGAGATGGAACTATATCAAATTCTGAAATTGGTTCATTAATGAATTCCCTAGGTTATTCACCAAGTCATGAAGACATTTCATCTGTGATATCAAAAGTAGATATTGATGGTAAATATTTTATTTTCTTTTGGACAAAAAAATTTTTATTTCTTATTAAATTAGGTAATGGCAGTGTTGATTTTGATGAATTTCTTATAATGATGCAAAGACGTAAATCAACAGGTGGTAGTGGAACTGAATTATTAAAAGTTTTCAATGTAAATTAATTTTTGAAATAATTAAAAATCCATTAAAATTTTATTTTTTCAATAGGTTTTTGATAAAAATAAAGATGGTTTTATTGATAAAAATGAACTTTATGATATGCTTTTAAGACTTGGAGAACAAGTAACTGAAGTGAGTAATCGATTCTATTTACGATGTAATCATTAATCATTTATGTCTTTAGGAAGATGTGACAGAAATGATTGAAGAAGCTGATTGTCTCGATAATGATGGAAAAGTATCTTATGAAGAATTTAAAGCTATCTTATCATACTCTAAATAATGGTATTTCTTCGATACTCATTTGATAATATGATAAACAAACAGGATGATGAAAAGAAGAACAAAAAAACAAGACTAAATTCAATATAGACATCTTCTAATTGTTATTGTATTTACGAGTGATATTGCAATTATTGTCGTCTCATTTCTTTTTTCGTTCTTTGCACATTAGCTTGTATGTTAGTCGTTTGGGCAGGACCCATATTGAAAGAAAAGCTATAGAAGATCAATATTATATGTATGTATATACTCTATGAGAGAAAAAGCAAAACAAACGCAATAACAGAGAAAAACAAAAAAGAAAAAAAAAGAAAAGACAGGAATGTTGTTATTATATATGATAAATCAGAGACATACACATCGCGCTCAGCTAAAAAATGGATTTTTAACCAAAAGAAAAAACAAGAATGAATATGGAAGAACCAATAATTCAATTCGTGAGTTGAAAATGGAAGACTATATGAAAGAAAAGACACAAAAGAAAAAAAAAACAATTGATAATATGTGGATATATTTTATACAAAAAAAAACACAAGAGAATAGCGCCATCAGATCGATTTGGACAAAGTGCACCAATATTGCAAAAAAAAAAGTGAAATGGAAAAGGAAAAAAGATCACATAGAGATTTCGTTTTCTATTTGTTTTTAAAACACGGGTATAAATTTTCTTTCGTTTGTTTTACAATATAATCAAAAGGAATATTATCTATTTGGACGGATATATATTATTGATGATATCGTAAAGAATCACAAAATAGTACAGCAAATTCGTTTCTCATGATCATCATCTGTTATATGATGATGAATTTGAACTTGTTTAGGTGAAGCATATCTCTCTAATGAATTATCTGTATTTGGTCCATGATAACCATTGGTTAGTTTTGTATTATTATGATTTATATCTGTCTTAGGAAATGGAAGAGGTGAAGAAGTTGCTGTTGGAAGAACATTTGATGTTGATCCACCAAATCCACGACGTCGTTCTTCACGGCGTCGTTTTACTTCACTTAATGTATCTGCAGTCGTTTGATTTGGTGGTGGTAGTGTTTGTGACGGTAATGGTAAAGGTAGTGGTGGTGGAACTTTTAATGGAGGTAAAGTTTGATCAGCAATGGGTGCGGGTGATTTTTTCGTAGAAATTACTGTTGTTGGTTCTCGTACAGTTGAATCTGTTGCTGTTGTTGTGACACTATTCGTATGATCTTCTTTATGTGATGATTTTTTTGTTATTATAGGTGATATTATTCCATTAGTTGTTATACCATTTGTTGTTGCTGTTCCTTCATCAGCATCTTCTTGTATTTTATCACGTGCTTGTAAAACATCAAGGAAGTTTTCATTTAATTTTTTGACTTTTTCACGATCACGTATTGATGCTCGACGAATTGAACTTGTTCGATTTAATGATGAACCACTTCCATAGGGTGATGAAACACTTGAACGTGATTCATATAAATTACCCGTACGAGATGTTATTCCATTAGGTAAAGAATTTGTATTTAATTGACTACGACCATTTAATTTTTGTTGTAATTGTTGAGCAGCTGCAGCCGCCGCAGCTGCTGCAGCTTTTTCTTGATTACGTATATTTTGTTCTTGTAAATCAATCATATATGAACGTAAATCAGGATCTTCACATAGATCAAGAGCTGATCGACCATCAGGTGATTTTTCATAAATATCTGCTCCACCTTTAATTAATTGAGCTAAAAATAACAAAAAAATTATTTTTATTCGAATTAATTTTGTCTATTTACTAAGAATTGGTTGTTGACACCAGAATGCTGCAGCATGAGTTGGTGTCCATCCATCACTATCTTGAAGATTAATTGAAACATATTGTTTTAATAAATATTCTACAACTGTTTGATAACCATTTGCACTAGCAATATGTAATGGTGTTACACCTTCAGCATTTCGATATGAAAGTATATCATCAATTGAACGTGATGATCCTTGAGATTTTTTTTTAACAAGATTCTGTAAATCAATTAACATTTGATTTTCAACTAATGTTCGTGTTTTATCAATCATCTCTTGTGTAATACCAATACGATCCATTTGTGTTTCAATATAATCAAGAGTTGTATCATCATCACATATATCATATGGCATATTACCATCAGCATTTAAAGCTAATAATTCAGCACCATTTTCTATTAAAATTCGACATATTTGTAGATGACCACAAGTCGCTGCAGCATGTAATGGAGTCCATAGATCACGATCTTTAGCATTCACATCACCACCATATTCAATTAATAATCTTAATAATTTTTCACTATTATCAATTGAACATTGATGAATTGGTGTAAGACCATCTTCATTTGCTGTATTTGGACTATATTTTCCGGACTGAAGAAGATTACGAACTTCTTCAATATCTTGACGTGCTGCAGCTATAAATAAATGAAAAAGAGAATTTTTATTTTTATCAAACGATAGTGTATAATTACCTTCTAATAGAACAACATTTTCAGGAAATTTAACTGAAACTTTTCTTGATTTAGTTGGTGGTTTTATTGGTTTCGCTGTTATACCATTTGATATTACTGTACCATTACTTGATAAACCTTCTCTCGTAAGCCAATTTTTAAGTTGTTGTTGTCGTCTTCGTCGAGCATGTTTAAGTCGTTCTTGTGCTGTCATTTTTTCTAACAGCACCATTTCTTGAATAAGTTCGGAATGATCCATTGTTATCATTTTGTTTAGTTTTCAAAGATAGAAAAAAATATTTTATCAAAATAACTATCGAATTATCTGCATTTGTTCTTGTTGTTGATTTGCATATTTTAAATAATCACTATAAAATATAAAGAATTTATATATCGTTATCAGTTTAGAAAAAAAAACATATGTAAATATAATATTTGATGATTGTTTAAATAGTTATTCTATATATTTTTTTCGAATTGACAAGAATAAACTGCACTATATTACTTCTATTTGAATTTAGTAAGTTGTTCACAAATTCGTTTTTTTTTAATTAACAAAAGATACCTTTGAAATTATGTAAACTGGCGCAGCGCGACGTACTGTTTGCAAGCAAAAGAAATTGAAGTATTTTATTTCTCCCTCTCTCTCTCTCTCTCGCTGTCTCTGCCTTGTCGTTTTTCTTTTTCATATTTATGAAACGCTTCGCATATATTTCTTTTCATCCTTACGAACAGTGCATAAAAATTCAAAAGAATAACGAAAAAATCATCATAACTGGTGTACAAACTGTCAAGAATCCTGTTTTAAAAAAAAATTTACATGACATAAAAATAGAAATAAATATTATTAGACACACACAAAACACATTCTTACTCGACGAATATTTGCATTCTTATCAATTGTTGTTTTTTTATATATTGAATATACATTCTCAACTTGTTTTTTTGTAACAATTCTCAAAATTTATCTGATCTAAAAATATGAAAGAATAACAATTTAAATAAGTCATAAGATTTCATCAATGGTGTAATGTAGATTTATGTCTAACATTGAATCATATTTGTTGTAATATCTGAAAACAAAAAAACAACAACCATAACCAATGAAGTTTTCACTACAAACTATGATTAATCTTATCGTTTGAAAACAAAAAAAAGAAAAATCAAATCAATGATAATACCTTTGATGAAGTAACATAAGAAAACTAATATAGACTAGAAAAAAAGAAAAAACAAACAAACGGTTAAATGAATAAAACCAATGAAATGTGACACAGTTTCCTGAGAACAAAAAACTGACAGACAAAAAAGAAACTACGATATTCTTTTCTTTATCAAGAACTACGTTTAACAAGAATATATTGCGTACGAAGAAGACCTTGTGTACCAGCACCAGATGAGCCTTCAATACGAAAACCAGCTTTAAGAAAAGCTTCAAGTACTTGTGTATATGATTGTCGATCAGGATCAGCTGGTGAATTATAATAACCCCAACGAAAAGCTGTCTCAGATGATTGAGGTAAAACTTGTTTAATCATATCGCGAGAGCCATGCTTTAAAAATGAATAATGAAGTTTTGAAATCAAATAGAAAAGTATATTTTTGATATTACTAATTCAAAAAATTTTCCATTGCCTGTTGATAACCAAATAACCATTGAAATAACTTCGAGATTGTTTGATGAGCCTTGTTCCATGATTGTATTGCTTTTTTTTGTTTAGATGTAAGACAATCTAAATAAAAGAAAAAATAATACAGACTAAGAGCAAAAAGACAACAAATCATTTTCGTCTCCTTCTTCCTTAAGTAAAGCTAAGCTCTAGCTAAACGATACTATCTCTATATCCCTCTGTGTGTGTGAGAGAGAGAGAGAGAATATGATCTACGAATCAAAATTATTCAATATATGACTGATTTTAGGATATTTCATTCAATTATTTAGAAGAAAAATTTATTTAGTTTTTAATTAAAATCATTTATTTATAATGAATTAATAATAATCTTTAAAATCATAGAATTCGTTTGTAAATGTACGACATCTATCATAAAGATCATTGTTAACCTGTAAATTGTAAGAAAGCAAGTGACTATAATAAATCTATACACTTTAAGATATTGTTTTACATAACGATATTTTATTTGTTTTTTTTTTGTTTGGTCTAAAGTCATATCATTCAAACTAAATCGACTTTGTCTGTCGCTTTTCTTGTCTTACTCGAAATGATACATAGATGTTTAGTAATACTAACATATTAAGAAAAAAAATCAACAAGAAAAATAACAGAAAAAAGATATCAAGAATACAAGTTGAGGCATAATAAATTCCGGAGTATCAAAAGACAAACAAAAAATAGATCATGTTGCTTATACTGAGAAAACAGAAAAGAATACAAGATCATAATACAGTAATTGCTAATTTATCAGATGATTTGTCATAGGTTTGCATAAATGAGAAAAAGAAATACATATCTGAGACAAAATGGGTAAAGAGAAAAAAAAATTTCATATATAAAAAGAGCAGAAAAAAAAGAACGTTCAGTTTTTGGTAACATAACACACACACACACATGCACTGCACTGCAACTTATCACACAAGATCCTTCATTCAATACTGTCTAAATAAAAAGAACAAAAAAAAAGAAAAGAACCCAACTATTTCAATAGATTATTATTTTCATATTGATTATCAGGTTGATTTGTTGATAATGCGGTATTATTATCATCATCTTCTTCATCATCATCAAGTGAATTTGTTAATATTGAATCTTCAGTAAAACATAACCAGGGATGTTTACGTGATTCATTTACAGTTATTCGATGTCTATTAAAATTAAAATATAGAAATTTTTTGATAGAAATTTTGCTTCTTCTATTTACTTTGGTATTCGAACAATTAATTTTTTAATAAGATCAATACATTTTTTTGATATTTTTTCAAATAAATCTTTGGGAAAATCGAGTACACAATGTGTTATATTACTTTGTGTATCCAATTTCGTTGTACCACCGAATGGTGTATGACCAGTAACAAGTACATAAATCAAAACACCAATATTCCACATATCAGTAGCACATGTCAATGGTTCATAATTGACTACTTCCGGTGCTAAAATTGAAAGAGACTTTAATGCGATCTGAAGTAATAAAAAAACATTTACCAAGAAAATCTGTTGTACCAGACATTTCTAATAGACGTTGATTAGTTAATACACGTGATAGACCAAAATCACATAATTTTACTTGTGTACTAGGCCATTTTTCCATAAGAAGGATATTTTGTGGTTTAATATCAAGATGAACAACATTATTCTCATGAAGAAATGCGACAGCATCGAGTACTTGTCTAGTAACATGTATTGCTTGTGATTCTTCTAAGCAACCTTCTAATTCAAGCGCTAATTGAAGATCACCTTGTTTTGCACTTAAATGTATGTATGTATATATATATTCATTGATATTAATTGTTTTGTTTTTAAACTTACTATTCAAGAATAAAGATTGCTTCAGTTGGTAAATCAAATACTTGATAAAGTGTGACAAAATTTGGATGTTTATGTGATAATTGAAATATACGCAATTCATTTAATGCATGTTGTATATTACGTTTTTTGACTATTTTGGCTGCAAAAATCTGATCTGGTGTATCTTTTTTAATACATTTTTTAACTGATGAAAATCGGCCACTAGAAAAAGGAAAGAAAATATTATTCTATACAATTACGAAAAATTATTTACCGGCAAAGATCTTCAGTTATATTATAGATTGAATCAAATGGTACTGTAGCACAACGATGAGTAAATTCACCAGGTGCTGTTGATTGAATCATACCGTTCGTTGACGATGGTGTCATTGTAAAAGGAGATATTTCACTCGATGTATTCTAAAAGAATATATATATATATATATACATGCGTTATTTATATGAAATAAATAGAACTCTAGATCATGCTTAAATCAACACATCAAAAGAGGAATAATGTTACTTATGTAGGGAAATAGATTTATTAATCAAATATAATTAAGATAAACTAGATTAGAAAGAGAAAAAAAAACTATTGTCTGAATTTTATGGTTATTAATAATCTTACTTACATGAAAACGATATCGATAAAGTGGATTACGAACGCGAGTAGATGGTTGACTACGATACACATCGTCTAACATGGCCAAAAAGAAGAAGAGAATTATCTAAAATATATATATATATTTAAAAAAAAAACGTGAATTGAATTATCAAATGTCTCGACGTCGGGACAGGATATTATGAACGAAACATTTTTGCCCCATTGTCGATACATATAGACACAGCAAGGCAATCAATGAATATATATTCATCTATGTATTGACCTTCTGCGAGGTCGCGCCGTCGCGTTCGTTTGCTCGTTCGTTCATTTATTCATTCATCTATTCCTTCTGCTGCTTTTATACATCGTGAGGTTCCTTCTTTTCATATATATTGCATGTTGGGAGCGTGAGTGAATATTGTATTGCATATCTATTGATTGATTGATTGACACACATGTCAAGGGCAAAAAGTGGATTCTGATGGATGATGAATATGTATATAAAGAATATAGCGACATCTAAAGATAGATATTTTAACTACAAGATGAACCACTTTGGTTAGAATCTGTCGAACTTTAAATTTATAGATCTAGACTTGCTTTTAGTAAAAAAATACAAAAAAAAAAATAAAAATTTAATGAATGTATTCTAGACGTTTTTGGTACCAGCTACATTCCGCCTCAAGTTCATATTCCTCACATAGATTTGCAAATGTTTCATATAAATGTTCAACATCAAATTGAAGTGTTGAATGAAGTTTACACAAACAAACAGGACATAAATATAGAGGTTGCCGATCCATTTCCTTTTCATTATTCGCACCATTCATCAAACAAACATAGTATATGCAATGTTTTAAACCGAATAGATGACCGATTTCATGTAATAGAATCTTTATACAACGCCGAAGCATGATAACACGATGTTCTTCAGTTAATGGAGTTTGAAGAATTTCTTCGGAAGTTGCTCGATAAAATAATGGATCAAGACGTGCAAATGAATATACACCAACACCATCAGTAGATCGAGCTTGTCCATAAACAAAATTCCAACCGTCGCCCGGATAAATATCAGCCATAGTTACTGCGACACATAAAAGTTCACGTTTTGTATCACGTTGTGAACGTGTTTGAACAAGATAATTGTGAAAATCACCCGTTAAATATTGAGGTCCTCCACTACCATCTCGTTTTCTTATATCTTTAGTAAAATCAACAGTTGGTAATAATTCAACTACACATCCAGAAAAAAATATTTTAGCAAATTCAACAATCACATCAAGTGGGGCAGCTCTGTAAATAACAGTTTAACAATTTATTAAACAAAAATCAAGTTATTTTTACCTTGGATGATCAAAACTACCAACTGGCTGAATATAGATTGTTTTATGGCTATAATTATAAAAAATAAAATTTCGAATGATATAAATAAATATCTAAAAGTTTTACTTACGTTCCATGAGGAATAGCTTTTGATGACGTTTGTTGAAATGATTCCATAGTTTGTCCTCTTTCCTTATGTTGTGCTAACCAATCACCACCATTAGGTTGAGGCACTGGTTCGAAACTCTCCTCAATTCCATTTGTCACAGCCATTTTCATAGTATTTGGTAACTATAATAAGAATCGATTGTTTATAATAGAATGAAATTATATAACATACTTTGGAAAGATCACCAAGCGCATTAGCGATTTGTTGATCATCGGAAGCTGTAAAGCTCATAGTTATGGTAATGTTGAGTAATAGTAGTACAGTTGAAAACGAATAAAATGAGGATTTCGTTATTTGTTATTGCGCTTAAATACTGTTATATGAGTCAATCGTTCGACCAATCCGATCTTTTTGTAAATTGGATTGTCAACGTTATGAGCGATCTCTATCGAAATTGTAGTAGACTCTTGAAACCTATATTAATATAATACAAGAATAATTCAGTTTGATTCTATGCTGGCATAGTGAAGGCCATGCACTATATATGCATCTTTAAAAAAATGAAAGTACTATCATTGTTTTCAATTGAAATCGAAGTCTTGCCAACATTTGTTTTGTATTTTCAGTGTAGAGATTCTCGTCACGTTTTTGTTCACATGCCCATTCAATAAGTCATGCATTCCTAATAATAGCTTTTTTTAGATATCAAAAAGTCAAATAATTAATTAAAAATGATCTTTTGAAACAGATGTTATTTATATTTTTCTATTTAAATTTTTGTCCTTAATAAATGATGTTCAAGTGCATAATCTAAAGTATGTTTTTAGATACGAATTGGTGTATCGTTTCGATCATGTTTATCACGAATAACCCGGGTTTTTTCATTGTCTGTTATAATTTATTTATTGGAGTATGATTATTAGAATGACTTTTTAAATATTATCATTATATTGTTACATTTTTATTCCATCATAAATAATATCCTTTTAAATCGTGTTCATATTACCATATATAAGCATAATTATCATAATGAACATGCTTTCAACTATTTATCAATGAAACAAAGCGGAAAATCAGAAAGATTCGAAAAAAGAATTTCTTTTCCTTTGAAGCATCAAGAAGAAAGAGACATATCCGAATTTTATAAATTCTGAACTCGACAATAAATAATACTATTATTAAGGTAGTAAAAAAACTGTAGACAACGAGCATAGTCAACAAAATCAAGTAACTCTATCCTTTACTACTAAGATTACCAAAAATTCTCGTTAAATCACCCATGAAATTCATCATATTCTTGGGACGACAACAAACTCATCTTCACTTTTATTCTTACCATATCGTCAGAGAAACATAACAATAGATTCCACCTAACATTTCTCCAACATGTAGGTGTGAATGTAGATTTTAGTACTCTATTATTTCTACACTTCACATTCACATCCTCGCAAGACAATGCTAGTTGCATGAAAGATATTATTTATATAAAATATGTCCATACAGTCACTTTTCTTTAGTTTTCGAAGCGTAATATATTCATTATTAAAACTTTGCAGTTTATTATTATCTTAATCGTTCACAGGGAATATGTCATCTGCAGCAAATAATTTGAACTATATTGCCATGATGTATAATCGATGTTTCTGTTACATTGTTACACCTCTTGGCATCGTAGGTCACCTTTTGAATATTTATGTATTTACTCGTCCTTCATTAGTATCAAATCCATGCAGCAGATACTTTTTAGCAGCTGCTATTGTTGGTATCATGAACACATGTTATACCGTACCTATCAGAATGATTCAAACTGGATATGTCAATGCTGATCCGGGAGCATATTCGATTGTGTTTTGCAAAATAGGATGGCTATTTTTATACGCATTAAGGTATGTACAATCTCGTTACAACGTACGTTTATTTAGACACCTATAACTTTTCTTTTCTATAGAGCATCAGCATGTTGGTCGATGGTTTTAGTTTGTGCTGATCGATATTTATGCAGTGCTGCATCCACAACTATGAGAGCAATGAGTAGTGTACGTGTAGCTAATCGAGCCATTCCTCTAACTATTTTGATTATCTTTATTGCATATATTCATGTGCCTATCTTCTTCAAAATCGACTTCGTATCAGCTACTCAAACGTCCACTTGTAACTCTCGAGGACCAGCAGGTGCTTATCGCACTATTTTATACTATTTTGATCTAATAGTTTATGGTTTATCTCCATCATTTTTCATGCTTCTATTTGGTTTACTGACATTAAGAAATGTTCAGCAATCGAAACGACTCATTGTCATGCCCGTAGCTAACCAAACTAACCGCAAGACTAATAATCAGATGCTACGTATGTTGATCGTTCAAGTATTGGTATATTGTGTAACGGGATTAGTATTTTCTGCTACAATAATTTATACATCAATGAATCCACCAACAAATAGTTTTCAAGTGGGTCAATATAACATGGTCTATGCAGTGGTTGGTATGGGCTCGAATATTGGTCCTTGTCTAAGTTTTTATTTATTTACACTTTCAAGTGCACTGTTTAGAAAAGAGCTTAAAAATCTTTTTTGTCGAGGTAACCGAATTCATAACCAGACACAACAACATATAATGCAAGCATCCAATACAGCTCGTGCTCCAACAAGAAACAAAACTTAAGAAAACTTTTAATATAAATGTATATGTATATCATATAAACTTGCGTAAAAACGTTATTTCTAATCCAGCCAGTTTTTATTTGATGTTGAATTGTTCGTGAAGTTTCCTGTTTGTGTATCATTTATTCAACCAATGTCAAAATAAATATTCAACCATCCTGAGGGTGTGGGTGTGATTGCTCATCTATGTTCTTCATCAATATTCACAAACACACACACACACATACCTTTCAATAGCTATGAATAATATCAGAAGAGTATTTTGTGAAAACAGACATTTTTCTCAAGATAAAAGTAACAAACTCTTTCACTCTGATAAAGATTGTTATATACTCATCGCAACTCTATTATAAATTATTCTCTACATGAATTATCAATGTACCACTTTGGTTAGAGTCTACTGAACTTTAAATTTATAGATCTAGGCTTGAATCTAAATGATAGTTCATCACATATTATTTAAACAATCTTAATAATGATGTTAATAATAATAAAAAATTTTACATATTTTCTTTTCTTGATTATATATTACAGTAATTATCGTTTTAATTCACATGTGTTTATAACTGTTTTAACATCTCTCAATTTAATGAATATATGCTAGACGTTTTTGATACCAACTACATTCTGTTTCAAGTCCGTATTTGTCACATACATTTGCAAATGTTTCATATAAATGTTTAACATCAAATTGAAGTGTTGAATGAAGTTTACACAAACAAACAGGACATAAATGTGAAGGTTGTCGATCCATTTCCTTTTCATTATTCGTACCATTCATCAAACAAGCATAATATATGCAATGTTCTAAACCAAATAGATGGCCAATTTCATGTAATAGAGTGTCAATGCAACGTTGAAGCATGATAACACGATGTTCTTCAGTTAATGGCGTTTGAAGAATTTCTTCGGATGTTGCTCGATAAAATAATGGATCGAGACGTACAAATGAATATACACCAACACCCTCTTTAGTTCGAGCTTCTCCATAAACAAAACTCCAATCTTCTTGAGGGTAAATATCAGCCATAGTTACAGCAACACATAAAAGTTCACGTCTTGTATCACGTTGTGAACGTGTACGAACAAGATAATCATGTAAACCACCCGTTAAATATTGTGTTCTTCCATCAAACTCTCGTTTTCTCATATCTTTAGTAAAATCAACAGTTGGTAATAGTTCAACTACACATCCAGAAAAAAATATTTTAGCAAATTCAACAATCACATCAAGTGGCGGAGCCCTGAAAACAGAGTTCAAAAATTTATTATATAAAAATCAAGTTATATTTTTACCTTGGATGATCAAAACTACCCACTGGCTGAATATAGATTGTTTTATGACTACAATTATAAAAAATAAAATTTCAAATGATATAAATAAATGTCTAAAAGTTTCACTTACGTTCCATGAGGAATAGCCTTTGATGAACTCATTTTTCGAAATGATTCCATCGTTTGTCCTTTTTCATTATGTTGTGCCAACCAATCACCACCGTCAGGTTGAGGTACTGGTTCGAAACTCTCCTCAATTCTATTTGTCACCGCCATTTTCATAGTATTTGGTAACTACAATAAAAATCGATTCTGCATGATAGAATGAAATTACACGACATACTTTGGAAAGATCACCAAGCGCTTCAGCAATCTGTTCATTACTGGGAGCTGTAAAGCTCATAGTTATGGTAATGTTGAGTAATAATAGTACAGTTGAAAATGAATGAAATGAGAATTTCGTTATTTGTTATTGCTCTTAAATAGAGTTATATGAGTCAGTCGGTTAAAGATTTACGAAAGATTTCACGAGCGAGTGAGTAAGTAACATGCTGCCATTCGACGAATTCGATCCTTTTGTAAATTTGATTGTCAACGTTATGAGTAAAATAATACGTAAAGCTAAGAGCGATCTCTATCGGAATATATCTTTTTATATGCTCGTTAACCAAATGTTTTTGTATCGAAAATATTGTCTATTTCATTAGCGAAAATAAGAATGTATCTTCTCCTTACATGTATTATAAATACAAACAATGAATTCATTTGAATGCATCACATAAAATAATAAATAATTCAACTTTAATTCAAATGCTCACTACAAATGTTAAAGAAAATGGTCTTGATGGTGTGAGTGTAGGTGCGGATGAGTGTGGATGTATTTTATCTTTAGTTAGACGCACATCACACCTACACTCTCAAGATAAAGAAATTGAAGCAATAAAAAAGTTGAAAAATAATAATGAAATAATGATATGCAAAGCCGATAAAGGAAACGCTATTGTTGTCATGAACAAAAACGATTGTATCGAAAACGCTCATGTTATCTTAAATAGATAATTTACAAAAACGAATACTAATTTATTAATTGAAAATGAAAAAGAATTAAACAAATCCATAGCAATAAAACTATTACAAAAAATCTATATTACCAACTTCATCAATATTCTACGGACAATCAAAAATGCACAAATCAGTTTATCTTATTAGACCTATTATCTCTGCAGTTGGTTATTATGATTACATTTTATCCAAATATCTCACAAAAATTATTACCGAACGAAGAGAAAAACCTGTGGCGTACATAGAAGATTTGTGAAAAAAATTACTAATACCAAAATCTGGAAAATATGACATAATGGTAAGTCTTGACGTAGAGTCATTGTTCACTAATGCACCAGTTGAAGAAACAATAAAAATAATAATCCGTTTAATATCCAAAGAAGATATATTACCAAACTGTCCATTCAATAAAGACCAATTCGAACATTTACTTAAATTATAT